GGGGGCATCCATGCCCCCCTCTCGTGCTCTCCCCCCGGCTCCGGCCTGTGCGGCCCTCGTTGGGCGGCCTGTGCGGCCCTCGTTGGGCGGCCTGTGGCCGCCCGCACCGCCAGGGGCGGTGCACCTCGCTGCGCTCGGCAAACACATTTACCGGGAGCGCCCCCCCCCCCCGTTCAAAAAATCCTGTATCCGCCCCTGATGGTGGCCCTAAAAAGGGCCAATTATGTATAGTCTATAACAGAATAACGCAAAGAAGCTTTGTTGAATTGTTATTTAATATAAAAATTCATTAATATCTCACAAAAGATTAATGAGTCTTATAGTACACGTATAGAGACATATTGGTCAGAACAGATTTTACCAACGATCAAGCGCATGGTGTTTAACAAAATGGTTGGAAAACAACAATTGCAAACCAATCAAGCTTTAAACTTCTGAAGTTCCCGATTTGTTTCAGGGTTTAGATACTGTATACAATTCAACAGACACAGTACCACGGAATTATATTAAGTCCAAGTCCGTGGATGATGTACGTAAAGGTTGAAAAATAACAATTTCGAAATAATAAATCACATCATCAAGCTTCAAACCTAACAAGTTGAAAATTCCCCAAAGAATGTGTGCTAAAAAAACGGCTTTTTTACTTCTACGAATGACATATTAAATACCGAACACCGCAAGAATCGCCAAAAAAACAGGACGTGAAAACGTGATTGAGATAATTTTACTGAAACACACGGCCCTATTAAACAACCAAATGTATAATATATTAACAGAGGACATTTACGTTAATTGAAATTCTGTTTTAACATTTAAACATAATTTTGGTATAGACATTTGACCTTCCTTGTCTGCATATGAAAAAAACGACGGTTATTTAAGTATTAAACTTTATTAAAGTTTTTTTTTATTTTTTTTATTCATAAGTCTACAAATAAAATAAGCAATAAACACATTACGTAGATAAAGTCACACGGAAATATATAATGGATCCAGGATAGAACCACGTCCACGTTGCTATATCGTCTGCTAGCTATATAGGTTCTTCAACTAATGAACTATCTACTCGCACGTCAACTTTATCGGAAGTTTCCTTTTGTTTGCAGTATAACAAATAGCAGCTAGTTCACATTTGGTACCTTCCTTACTTAGCCCCTTTTTTCAATAAAAAATGAGAGATCTCCATATAATAAATCTAGAGTCATGACACCAGGAACGTCAATCTCCCCAATCGGATCTCCAAACCATCATTTTATTAAATCATTGAAAAATCTGAGGAGGAATTATATTCATTTATGGTTGTATCAAAGGAAGAATATCGATGGGTGTTCTTGAAACGAAATTAGCACCCGGGGCTCCCTTGAGATATTTATAGAACGCTCTGAAGTCACCAATCAGCGTCTCTGTCAGGATCCAAATCGGATCAAGGCTTGAATTTTGCAGTATCTTACGCTTCAAATGAGGTGTTTTTTTGTCAGCATATTAACATTTTATAATGACCTTTAGCATGTATATGACAAAAAGTATTTCTATAGTGTGAATTTATTCCTATAGTCCAAAACAGCATGCATAGTCGTCGCACGCGCCATTTTTTAAAAACGTGATAAAAAAAACAATGACATTTGAGTTTGAATTACGTTTTCTTGTGCTATTTGAACTTTAAAACTAAACATCTGTAGACAAAAATTGGTGCATGGCTATCTATTCTAAGACTGCATCATTATTATAACTGATTTGTTGACATATTTATTCATTTAGAAGTATTTTTGCAAAAAGTGATCCGATTTGGGTACTGATCCGATTTTTTCGTATTTCTTAACCGGAAATGAAGTATGTAAAAGTGAAAATAGGAGTTTAATGCCACCAAATATACGTATGGTTGTAGCGGTATTAACATTATTTTAAAAGGTTAAGCATTATAAAGTAGATGGAGGGTAAGTGGTGGAGAAAGGGATGTTCCTATGCATTTCATAACTGAAGGAAAACGATCCTACTGCATGTATAACTTACAATTTAGTCATTAAAATGTTTTATCTTTATTTTCTTCACGGATTTAATCAATGTTTTAAAAGTAATTTGATAATATTGTATTATTACCCGTACAAATTCACAGACAGGTTATGGACATTTATTAATTGTTTCAGACTGGTTATAAACTTATATTAACTATAACAAACATATTAGGAACATTTATTAATTGTTTCAGGCTACTTATAAACTTGTATTAACTATAACAAACATATTAGAAACATTTATTTATTGTTTCAGGCTGCTTATCACAGACATAGGAACATTTTTTTCTATTTACTGTTTCAGACTGGTCATGCACCTGTATTTATTATCACAGACAGGCTATGGATCTTGAATTATATTGCTTCAGATAAAATTGTTTTAACTATCACAGACATAAGGGAACCTACTTATGTATTTGTTATTCTATCTTCTATCAATACATCGAATTGTCATGTACGGAACATAAATCCATTGTTTCAAACTGGTTATAAACTTGTATTTACTTGTACTATCACAGACAAGAAGTAATATTTCATTATTTAATACATATATACAGATAAGTGATATTTCATCATCAGGTGCATGTTCTTTAACTGTCTTCGAGATATTGATCACTTGATATATTTTGTAGAGATACAATTGTATTTTGTGACCTAAAAGGCATTTCACACAAGCCAGATACATGGTAACAGCATGCACTTTATTACCATTCAAATATAAGATATCATGGTAAAACAGATATTTATATAATGAGAAAATAAATAAAAAAAAAGTATATGATATTATCGTACTACTAAAACATGCATTCCAAGCATTACAGGCCTAAATGTAAATGTTATGAGTAAAATAAATTGAGTCAGAAATCTGAGTACACAAAAAAAAATATAAGACAAAGATAATAAACGTGTTCCTCTAAGGAGAAAATTTTAACCAATCAGAATAGCATTAGCTATTTACACCGGTCCACTAAAATTTGCAAAATGGCTGCAAGTCTAGCTGCCGAACCGCAAGTCGGAGGATTTAATTTCGAAAATCATGCCAGGTAGCTTGTTTTGGTTCGCCGTTATATATACAAATGTGATTTAAGATATCGAGTTTTGTTTCTATGTGAAATTTTGAGTTCGTTTTCATTATAAACTCACCGAACTTAGCGTTCGGCGAGTAAATACAACGATGACAAAGCAACAACAAACGATTTACCAATGATCCTACCAATTCTTGCTTATTATTTCGTTTCAGAAATGTTTCCTTCGAGCAAAAAGGAATGCATCCACCAAAGGCTTACAAGACAGGGACTACTATCGTCGGTTTAGTCTACAAGGTTGGGCATTCAAAATGCTATGTCATTTTACAAAATATTTCGGCCCCCCCCCCCTTCCCGACCAAGGTTGGACACTACGGCACATATGGTGAATATCCTCCATTTGGGTAACAGTTACCCGTCATTAGTAACATTTTTATTACTGACATGGGGAATAAATGAAAAGAAGAGTTCTTTTAAACACTTTGAGCTAAAAGGGCGTCATTCTTTCACACAAGAAGCTATCAATTCTGATGTGTAAATTTTGGTTAAGTTGACAAACCACATCACTGACTTTGTTCTCTTTTGACTACAGCGAGCAATCCTAAGTCATTGGGATCATCCATTGCAAATGTGACAGGTTAGCATGAATGTTTCTGTGTTCTATTTAAAGCTTCCCCACACACACTATAAGCAATGGAGGTAATAAAGTTTGTCAGTTTTACAATATTTTGTGTACAATTGTACCCCATTTTAGTATTTATTGGCTTTTGGTGAAAGAAAGACTCCCTTTTTCCCCTAATATTTCTTTATCTTTATGTGTTTCTATTTCACTTTATTCCCCATTTCAGTGAAAACATTGTTGTTGTAAACAGGTAGCTGTTAAAGGATTATTACCTATGTGCGCTATTGTGCCCAACCTATTTCCTGAATTCCACTGGACGTTTCCCAAAGATCAAACACATTATTTCATTAAAACTAATCCCATTTTACTTGCATTGACTTTCCCATAAAACTGAGATAGTCTGACTTTAGACTTTCAAAACGATAAATAAACAAGTTATTTTGTAAACAAGTTGAGAATTAAAAGGTTTTGAAATTAAATGCCCCTTGAATAGTATTGTAATGTCTTACAGGAGATGTCATGAGAAATGCATGTACACAGGCATTCAAACCAGAGACCTCTGAACCTCAAATGGATGCTATACCAGTACAGGTTGCTGGCGGTCGATCCAGTCAAGTTCCACTACATTTCTTCTTCCTTTTTTTTTAAGCCTTCAACCCCAAATGAATCCCAGACATTTCAGTGCCCAGTGGTTTCAGTACTGAAAAATATGATGTATGTTGCAGTATTTTTTTGTTAAGAAAAAAAATGCTGGATTATCTTAAATAATAACGTCAGCAACACAAAGGACACAAAAAGCGAACAAAGCATAAAGAAGAAACATTAGTCCAAGTGCTAAAATAGCATCTTGGAACAGAAGCAACATTTAAGTACCAAAACATATGTACCCCTTTAAAACCCATGTTCGAATTTCCCCTTGCCAAGCTTGGTCACAGATACCACTGTGACAGGAAAGCAAAAATGCACTGCCAGAATTAATTGGATTTTAAGCTTAATCCTGGACCTCGGAACTCTAAAAAGACACTAACTAATTGAGCTACTTGCTTGGTGGCAATTAATCAACCCAATCAGGTCTACACAAGTACCAAACACCTGAGTGTACCAAAATGTCAGTACCTGGTTGAGATATCCCTTGACTTCTTGATATTTCTAATATTGGTGAGATTCCTGTAATATATATATGATATTTGAATGCACTTAAGTTGTCTTGCAAATTTGCTTTAGTCTTTGAGCATATAATTACCTTTGGGAGAGTCTGACAGCTCTGGAAAGTCGGTGGTTACACAAGGTCTGTAAAAGTTATCTCTTGATGTTAAACATCATATGTTAACTGTAATATATTTAACTTGTCTCCATACTATCTTTTACAGGATGGTATTGTATTGGGTGCTGACACCAGGGCAACAGAAGGATCTGTGGTGGCAGATAAAAACTGTGCAAAGATTCACTATATAGCTGACAATATTTAGTAAGTGAAGTAGCTAGTGTACCATTGGATAGATTGGTAGCTATATTAACTATGAGAATGTTGATGAATTCAATTGCAGAACTGAACTACTACCAATATAATTCACATGTTTAATGTATCCCATCTCATTCTTAAAATTGTAATTGTGTAGTAAACTGGAATGTGTACTAGAACATTCTAATGAAGTCGAAATAAAATAAAATTGCTGTTAGATGAAATTTGTGTTATCATTAGTGAGAATTGATCATAAAAAAAACAGCCAGAACAGAGCTCCCAGTATTAAATCCCAAAATTTATGTTTTGCTAAAGGCTGCATTTGACTACAGAAAAGCACCTTGGACTACAAAATCGAATTACTTGATTTTTTTGACAAAGTCTGGATTTTCCCTTTAAATAACACTTCTTATATTTTATTACCGAATCAGACTTGAATTAATCAACTTCTTTCTTTATGAAAATATTGAAAATTACAATTAATATTAAATATTAAAATTGAAGTGAAAAAATTGCCTGTACATTGAAGGGGCTGGTCGGGGAAAAAATGTCATATTTGCTAAAATGGCATACACATGTTTAAAATACCTTCTTATGAAATATGCCGATTCAAATTTTGCTGAACTTCACTCCATAAGAGTTAAAAATATAATTATATTAAAGAAATCCTAAATCGTCACCTGACAGTCTAAAACTCTCAATTGACCCAGATCAGTGATGTAATTTTACCGAACGCGAGTCATCAACAAGGCCAAATGTAAACATCGCGGCAAAAGAAAAAGATGCATGCAAAAGTCATGACAGGCATGAGGTATCGATATACCGTTATATATAACAACAACACATAGGTAGGAATACTACACTTGCATCATACATGACCTTTGAAAACAATTATTTACTGTAGTATTGCTGTCTTTTCCGCTAGTTGAGTCCGACATGGCACATGATGGCGTGCTATTGTTGTTATCTTCACTGCCTCAATTTTGAAACAACCATGTGACATATATAAATAGATATGCGCGTAATTTACGCGGGGCTTCCCCGAGATTTCAGTGGTCAAAACTGGACATTGCAAGCAGAACTTGACCATCATATTGCCGTGGTATAACGTTTGGAAGGCCAGAGAACGCATTAAGACCCATTTATTTTGTATTTTTTTCTCCGACCAGTCCCTTTAACATGGACACAGGCTTTGGAAATTTAAATCATAAACAGAGAAATGGTGAATTCAATAAGATCACCATGCAAACCACAGTTATGAATAAACATGCTGTTCTCATTACTGTAAGTTCATAAATTATTTATAGAATCAAAGTTATTTTTTTTAGCTTGTATTGAATCATTTAAGAATCACATTCGGTCTTGTGTACAGGATCTCAACGATGTGTGCTATGTTCAACATTCATGAGTCAAAGACCCCATGTTTTGATTTTTCTTGATTGTCCTACAAAATTTGAAACATCGAAGTTTGACTATATAATTAGTTATTTACACATTCCTATTATTGCTCATAAATAGATGGAAATATTGTTTAATTCACCATATCCATAGCAATTCTGAAGTTGTGTTATAACCATTCCAGTTGCTGTGGTGCTGGTACTGCAGCGGACACAGAGATGACCACACAAATGATCTCTTCACAGCTTGAGCTCCATCGCCTAAACACGGGGCGGATACCACGAGTGTGTACAGCCAACAGACTCCTCAAACAGATGCTTTTCAGGTAAACACATAAATTAGTTATGTTGAACAGATCTTTGTGTAAGGATGATTGCTATGAGGTTTTGTTCAACAGGAAATTTCATATCGGATGATCTTGTTCAACAGTTAAACCTCAATACTCTTTGCCTTGGAGTTGTGCATCTTTTCCTTTAATAACATGTTTGTCTGTTTGAATTTGAACTGTTCATTGAAAACTTTGTACACTTGATAAGTACCTAATAAATTAAATAAAGGAAGCAATTTCTCTGCTTGGTAATTGTTACTATTAATATTTTGAATTGTAAACACCATTCTGATGACACCAAGTATATTGAAACATGTCAAAATCTCAATAGAAATTGTCAATCACCTTCATGTGAATGTCAAGTCATCTTTGCTTTGAATTGGGATAACCTTTCTGTGCTGGACTACTGAATACTGAATTCCATAAGGAATGCATCCATAGAAGGCTACTGGACCTTAGGAAATAAAGGGACACAGACTCATTTGCTTCGTAATAAATTAGATGGTGATGCATTTGTGATCAATTTTGTATATCAACTATTCCTTTTGGAAATGGGCTCTATTTCTGAAAATTGAACGCAGGAGTTGGGGGTATAAGTTATGTTTTCTGTGGCTTAAATTTCTGGATGAAATTGCGTGCAATAGATTAGCTTCATTCAAATAATCAATTGAAAGTTAGACCATTGTATGATATATTGTGTTTGTATACAGGTACCATGGCAACATCAGTGCAGCACTTGTACTGGGAGGAGTCGACTCTACTGGCCCCCACCTGTACAGTGTATGGCCCCATGGCTCTACTGATAAACTACCATATGTCACCATGGGTAGGTTGTGCACCAGTGATGGGACATATGATGGAAATTTAACCGAAATATGGCCGAATATATGCTTCAATTTTGTAATTAGAATCAAGACTTTTTAACATAGAATTATAACCACAATAATTAAAGGTGGATAACATGCAAGCTCTTGACTTGTACATGTACTTTAATTGGTGGGTATTAGACTGATACAGATAGCCAGTGCTAAGTCCAATACCTTTTCTTCAGGCCATTTGATGATGATGATATATCTTAAGTAAAACATACAAAAGACAAGTGTTTATTGTAAAATCCTATTTTGACACTAAATAGCAAGATACTTGGAGTATAAACTTTATGTAAGTTACAGTTTTCTGGTTATGGTACTGGTTGAATTTTATTTCTCACTACATTTGTTTTTCTATGCATCTCATCACCAGTCCATTTACAGTATGCTGTTAACACCAAATAAAGATTTGTTTGGGCTCGTTAGAAAATGTGTTAACTAGAACAAGTTTTCCTTTAACTAGGTTCAGGATCCCTGGCAGCTATGGCAACTTTTGAGGACCGCTTCAAACCAGAAATGGAGGTAATGTAATGAAATGATATAACATTAATTAAGTAAAATGCAACAAAGGAGGATATTTGTTTTCTGTTGCGTTCATAATTTCAGAATTGGTTTATTTAGCTACAAGCCATACAAATTGTTCATTTAATACACTTCAGAAGTGATCATTTATTTATCTGTAAGCCATAACCAAATAAAAGAATTCTGTCTTTGCATATTGCAGAGTTATCTTCTCTTGGGAGTAGGTATTGATTGTTACGTCATTGGTCTGTGTGAGAAAATTACGTCGTTTTCTCAAAAATTGATGACGTTACTCTCACAAACAAGTGACGTAACAATCAATACCTGCTCCCAGGAGAAGATAACTCTACAATACGCAAAGACGGAATAATTAATACATGGTGATGTGGGGATAAGAAAATACCACCTATGAACCTGAGGGCAAAATATAAATATTCTACATCTATTTTTTTCATTTCAAAATAAATATTTATTGTTCACATCTTAAATACAAAGGAATCTGGTAACAGGCAAAGCCTATGAGAGCCCTCTCCTTCTACATCTGTACATGATAAGTTATTGATAACTGATTAATTTTCTCCCAAAATGTAGATAGGTTTGTTCAAATAGGATTGATGTGGTGTCTTTAGATCATGATACAACAACTTGCAAAATATAACATTTTTGGGTGTTCAACTTGAGCCATCCTTGGTGCTCCAGGGGTTATGATCACTTATGCTCTCTTCACTGGAATATGTAATGGCAAAATCAAAGGCATGAAGATAGCAATTTGACTGGACTGGTCTCTTGGGGGGAGGGGGGGGGGATGGATATCTGACAAATTGCAAGGCTGATACCTGTTCTTTGAAGATTAGAGGAGCAACAATCCACTTTCAAATCGGTCAATTTTACTGTTTTTTGATGAACATCCAAAGATCAGGCTAGTCTACTTGTCTCATCCACAAGGCGAGGCGCACTGAGCCTTCAATTTTATCATGACATATACCACAGGGATGTAGAGAGTGCAATTAGGCGTATAATTCCTGGAGTATTGAGGATGAGCTTAAGCCTGATGAACCAGACCTGTAATATATATATTAATGCAGATGTTGAAGTCTTTGCTAGGGCTGTAAGAAACAACATCAGACCAGTATGTCTGTTAACGTTCCACTTGAGATTTTTTTAGAAGTGTCGTTTATTCACCAGTTTTATCCTTAGTTTGAAGTTCTGCTGTTTTAATGTGCTCTGTGTTAGTGTGATCAAGTTCAAACTGTGCTGTTCACATTGGTACTGCTGGTGATATTTTATCATCAGTTTGAAGTTCTGCAGTTTTAATGTGCTCTGTGTTAGTGTGATCAAGGTCAAACTGTGCTGTTCACATTGTTACTGCTGGTGATATTTTATCTGCATAATTATATAGTTGATATTATACATCCAAAATACCCCCAAGATTGATCTCATTTCACAATTGAATGGCTCTTGCTTTGACATTTAGTTATCAGGTTTTTTTTTGTGGTTGATCAGTAAGCAAAAACATGAGTACATTGTAATTGAATTCATTTAATAAAATTATAACACACCACCAGAAAATTAAATTTTACCAAGGAAGTAATTTGAGAACATAAAACTTGAGATAAAGAATCCACAAAATGGTACCCAATCTTGTATTCAGTCATGCCATTTTTATGTGTGCAGAAAGACCAGGCCATACTGTTGGTGAGGGATGCTATTGCGGCTGGTATATTTAATGATCTTGGATCAGGAAGTAATGTGGATGTTTGTGTAATAACCAAGGGCAAGGTGGAATACATGCGTCCTTATGAAGAAGCCAACGTTAAGGGATTAAGGTATGACTGCATTCCCATCATACATCCATTGGAGGGTTTGTAGTGTATTCATTTAAAAACAAATTCATTTATAAATAAAAAAATCAGTAACGTTCATCAGTAATTGCAATTCATATAATTACAAGTTTTGGTTTTAGTTGTCATAATAACATCAAAAAAAGTATTAATGCTTGTAACCCTTTAATACTCGATGTGTTATTAATATGTTAATATTAATTCGACCCACAAGAGGTTTTTTGGTTTGTTAATAGTATTATGAGTAAGGAATGGGCTTTAGGTCAGTTATATGTTTAAAGTATGTTTTGATATCTTAAATGCAGAACTACATTCATTTTCTTTCAGATAAAGAAAAAAGTGACTCTTCATAGTTCATCTATTAATGGAAATGGATGGTAATGTTTGAAATTGGAATGTAATTGCTGAGCTCATTCCATGGGGCATCTGGACCAGAAAGGAAATGTGGTAGAGGACCCATTCACAAGTCAACTTTGTAGTGATTGTCACTATTGGACTTAATCTTTCATTATTTCATGGATATCTATTAATGTGACTCGTCACAAGAACCTGAATAATGTCCTTATCCTCTCATTCTACATATATATGGATAATTTTTTTTTTAAAATTATCACTCGAAGAACAATTGGAAAAGTAAATACTTCGCTTATATAATAACTAGTAATTGATAGATTTTATGTGGTGAACAAGCTGGAAAAAAAAAAGAAAAATAAAAAATAATAGGTGTATGTGATATGAAATATACAATTGGTAGTGCTAATGGTATTCAGAAGTGCTACATGTCAGTCATCAGGTATTCTTCCTGACTTGTTCAATAAAGAACTCAATTAATTGTTTACAAAAGGATATTTGTTGGTTTTTAGATCACCTGCCCGAAGGGCAAGTGAGCTTATGTCATGGTCCGTCGTCCGTCAACTTTTCCTTTAAACAACTTCTTCTGAAGAACGAACAGGCCTAGAGTCTTGATATTTGCCTGAAAGCTTGATTGGTAGGAGCCTGACAAAGTTTCAGATTAAAAATGACCTTGACCTACTTTCAAGGTCACATGGATCAAATGTGTGAAACACTTCAAACAACTTCTTCTGAAGAAATGAAAGGTATAGAATCTTCATATTTGGCTGGTGACTTTCTGGGATAGAGCCAAAAAAAGTTTGAGAATGATAATGACTGACCTACTTTCAAGATCTCGGGGGTCAAATGTGTCGAACACTTTAAACGATTTCTTCTGAAGAACTGAGAGATATATAGAATCTTCATATTTGGCTGGTGGCTTCCTGGGATTGAGCCAAACAAAGTTTGAGAATAAAAATAACCTTGACCTACTTTCAAGGTCTCTGGTATCAAATGTGTCAAACACTTTAAATGACTTCTTCTGAAGAACTTAAAGGTATAGAATTTTCATATTTGGCTAGTTGCTTCCTGTGATAGAGCCTGACAAAGTTTAAAAATGAAAATAACCTAGATCTCCTTATAAGGTCACAGGGGTCAAATAACTTCTTAAGAAGAACCAAAAAGCATAGAATCATATAATAATATTTGGCAGGTAGTTTTAACTGATGGAGCCAACAAAGTTCGTGAGTGAAATATTTGTAATACAGTATAATATTTAATGATAAAATTTTGCTGTGACTGCTTAGATATTCAGGTGAGCGATACAGGCCCTCTTGTTAAAAGCTAGAAGGTTGGTTATTACATGTGCATCATATTGAGTTATCATGAACTCAAGGAATCAGAATTGAATGGTTCAATAAAAATATTTATACAAAGTGAAGACAGCATATATTAAAAACTTGAAAAAGTAACATTTTGATGATTATTAATTAACTTTCTTTTGTAATATTTTCATAGTTTCTTTCAACATCTTCATAATAAAGTGATGCACTGATGTAATCATTGAAATATAGCATCTATTATAAATCAGAAAAAGCCCACTTTACCATTCAACATTTTTATTACCGAAATAAAAAACAGGATTACAAAACAAACATCACAATATAACACTGAAAATTTGTTTTACTATGTTAGCTACATCTAAACATTGTACTCTCTCACTGAAAATACTGCATTGACATAGGATTTCCTTGAAAGACATCAATATATCTGTAAATACCATAACTCATTGACCTGTGTATATTTTGCTCAACATTATGACATAAAACCTAATTGTATTATACACATATACCAATATGCTACCGCATTTACAGTTACCATTGATACAGCAAGATATTATCAATGTTCTCATATGTTAGTTCTCACAAAAAAGCTACAGGTCTTGGAGTGTCCCACAAAACGTTTGAAGTGAAGACAGAATTATTTTTATGCTTGTAAAATCTGGAATGTGTATTGGATTTCATTTAGATGATGTCTAAACATATAATGTAAACATAATAATGGTTTCTGAAAAAGAAAATGAAAGATTGTCACAATTGTTCTAAAGACTTGCCCCGCTTGTTTATAAAGAGGGGTTTAATTTAACTGACTTCAGGTTCTGGTAAATATGTGCAGACGACTTTAATAGCCACGCGTATCCATACTCTTATTCAAACCTTTACATACTCTGCAAGATTATTTTTATTTTGTTCACATCAATATGATTTTGTAACGGTTTTTGTGTACAATATATATCAACGTGTGTTGCACACCATACAAGTAAAGGACAAACAGAAATGCAAAATGACTTTGAAAAAATGGCAGTATTTGAATATTTTTTTCATACTGCTGTCATTGATAATGAAATTAATGAAATAATACTTAGACATATACAAAGTGTAGACTTAAGTTTTCACCATGGTATCAAATATAGGTAACTGAAAAAATTCTAATTGATCACATTCCAAATTGTTTATTTTAAGACATTTAAATACTGATGTCAACAATAATTTTAATCCCTTTGCCATATGGCACATATTTACATATAATTTTCAGTGTTACAAAATTCTAATTAATCAGGCTATTCTGCAATTGAGCAGTGTATATTTGCATAGAAGTACACAATTGTACATGAACGATTTCTGTACAAAGTTACAATAAATAACATTAATTTTACAGCTATATTATATTATATTGTGCATTGCAAGACATTATATTTTTCTTTTAACAAAACATGTTAAAATTAATTTCATTGTTCCATTTATTATTAGGTTACCCCACAGCTTTCAATCTCAATCATTATACAGGAGTGTGTACTGTACCAAAAGTCCCGCAATAAACACTGGGTCGGAGTATCACTTTGTGAAGTCAAATCTGTATCCTGGATACTATATTTATATTAATTAGTTTCCTGGAGGTGAATGAGGGGAGAGCATGTTCTGTTATGGCTAGGAGTATTTTAACTTTGGCCTTTATCGGAAGTATCAACATTCATCTGTCCCACATAATGCATATGAATATTTATGGATATTGCAAACGTCATCCAAAAATGATATATGACTAAAAATAACATCAGGGCAACCATATCTTAAAGAAAGTAAATTCTCAAGACAGGGAAGCTAGTGATTGCAGATATAAGAGGACCTCAAAGTGAAAGAGAAAAAATACAATTAACAAAAAAAAAAAAAATCATTTCACATCCCTTGAGTCTGGACTGACTTCTAAAAGTATTGCAATGAGTCATTACTTGAGACTTTAAAATGGAAATGGACCTTTAAGCGAGATTTTTTCAGAAAAAAAATCCGGCAATATTTACAACTAGATAAGTATGAACCGTAGGAAACTCAAAGGGATCCTTTACAAACCACAGCCCCTATTATAAAATCTTGAGTGACTAGGCATCATTTATAATGATGGCATCAAACATTACACACAATTCCCAAAAAAACTATGCAAACATAAAATAAATTCTGCTGAACACGTTGTGATATGTCACTTTAATGCACTACTTCAACTGTAATTTACCAAAAGTTGTAATACCCCAACCACCCCTAAAGAAAGAAAAATTATGTACAAAATGGCCTTCAAGAATATTAAAAGTTGATGTTCTCATATTTGGTCAATATGAACTGGATTCTATTATTCAATCTGAGTACAATAGCCTCATTATTAATTCACCATAAGAATGTTACAAGATCAGTTGAAACAATTTTGAGACTTTTAATGTACAGCTGTTATAGAATACAAACCCCTTGCACCATCATGGCGTCTAGCCAGATGAAATACAAATAGAAATGCCAGCGACTAGCAAACACTCGTCTTCATACGTACCAGTAGAATTAGTAGATGTGTCAGTAGTAGTCAAAGACTAATGGTATGACATCGACAATGGTGAGTTTTTTCATACTCCTTTGTTGTTGGGAGCAATTTATCACAAATTTTGTCGCCTTATTTTCATTTCTTTTAGTTTTCTGAAAAATGTCATCATTTCAGTTGTCGACTACATCTATTGCACACAAATAAACACCTGTACACCCACACACCAGAGAACAGGTAACAATGATCACACCTGTACACCCACACACCAGAGAACAGGTAACAATGATCACACCTGTACACCCACACCAGAGAACAGGTAACAATGATCACACCTGTATAATGATGGTGTCACCAAATACAGTGTTATTGTAAAAACAAAATTATTGAATGACTAGCAGCATTTTAAATAGCGGCAACATATTTACAGGCTTTATACCAAGTGAAAATGTATCGAACACTAAACACCAGACATTTTTTCTCTCTTATACATGTATCATTTATCAACATATCTCTGTTTACAAAATGACTATGTCAGAAACCTTAAATCATATGGTTTAACTAGCAGAAGTTTCGAAAAATAGTTCTTGTCAATACAGTACGTTCACACAAATCAATGCAGTGCAGTTGTACTCAGTTTTATTTCAATACAATTAAAATGTGTATCCGATTACAGCAATACAAATGATTTAAATAGACACTACAAAATAAGAAATGACAGACATCATGATGACATCTGGATATTAAAACACATACTGCATGTTTGTACCTGAGTAACTATTTCATCAACATTGGCATTTGTAATTACTTACACAGTATTTTTTCAAAACACAATTTTAAAATGACATATTTTTTCAAATAACTGGTAGTGTTGTTCCATTTTTTTTACAAAGATAATAATTACCACCATTTATACTTAATGTATACCGGTAATTTGCACACATATGTAATTTACGCAGGTACTTTTTGAGGCTGAAAATCCCCAAAAAACAAATATTTTGCGCACCATTTTTTTTTTTTAAACCCGACTTGAAATTGAATTACTAACCAAGAATGATTTTCTATAATCAATCATGGCTTTAATTTAATATGGCAAATGCTTTCAACCGAGGTGCAGATCAGAATCTATACCCAAGAGTGGGATGACCCCCAATGGGCTGAGAGGTGGGGCCAGAGTTTAATATAGATTTTGAGACTCGATAAAATGATAAAACAATTTTGCAGTTAATTGCATTAAACATTACTACATATACACTGAAGCTACATGTGTAGGTATTAAAAACATTTCTGCATTTATTTCCCTTTCATTTTATAATCGAACACGAATCGATCGTAAATTGTTTGAGAAATGGTGATAACGGATCATGAATGATGAAGCAATTCCCAACACTAGTTCCTGGTTGATACACCTTCATGGTTTGTGTTTAGATTCTAAACTTTCAACAGTTCATGACCACAGATGAATCAATGACATGATTACTTTACAATTAAATGACTACATCATATGAATGTACACAAATACTGCTTTTGGGACTTGAATGGTAATGGTGACGGCAGCATAAAGAATATGTTTTGGAAACATTTGGTTCTATTTCGTCTTTGTTATACAGAGTATCGGTGAGCACAGTTCTACGTTGTGAACAGTTCCTACACAGATGTGATGGGGAACAGGTTGTGGGCAGTTCCCACACAGATATGGGGAACAGGTTGTGGACAGTTCCCACACAGATATGGGGAACAGATTGTGAACAGTTCCCACACAGATATGGGGAACAGATTGTGGACAGTTCCCACAGATATGGCGAACAGATTGTGGACAGTTCCCACACAGATATGGGGAACAGGTTGTGGACAGTTCCCACACAGATGTGATGGGGAACAGGTTGTGGGCAGTTCCTACACAGATATGGGGAACAGATTGTGAACAGTTCCCACACAGACATTGGGAACAGGTTGAGCACAGTTCCGCGATATGGGGAACAGGTTGTGGACAGTTCCTACACAGATATAGGGAACGGGTTGTGGACAGTTCCCACACAGATATGGGGAACAGATTGTGGACAGTTCCCACACAGATATGGGGAACAGATTGTGGACAGTTCCCATACAGATATGGGGAACAGGTTGTAAACAGCTCCCATACAGGTGTGATTGGGAACAGGTTGTGGGCAGTTCCCACAGATATGGGGAACAGGTTGTGGACAGTTCCCACACAGATATGGGGAACAGATTGTGAACAGTTCCCACACAGATATTGGGAACAGGTAGAGCACAGTTCCCACACAGATATGGGGAACAGGTTGTGAACAGCTCCCATACAGTTATGGGCAACAGGTTGTGGACAGTTCCCACACAGATATGAGGAACAGGTTGTGAACAGCTCCCATACAGATGTGATTGGGAACAGGTTGTGGGCAGTTCCCACACAGATATGGGGAACAGGTTGTAAGCACTTCCCACACAGATATGATTGGGAACAGGTTGTGGACAGTTCCCACACATGTGTGATGAGGAACAGGTAGAGCTGTTTCCAAATAGATATTGGGGAACAGGTTGTGAACAGCTTCCATACAGATATAGGGAACAGGTTGTGGGCAGTTCCCACACAGATATGGGGAACAGGTAGAGCACATGTCCCACACAGATATGGGGAACATATTGTGGACAGTTCCCACACAGATGTGAGGAACAGGTTGTGGACAGTTCCCACAGATATGGGGAACAGATTGTGAACAGTTCCCACAGATATGGGGAACAGGTTGTGGACAGTTCCCACACATGTGTGATGAGGAACAGGTAGAGCTGTTTCCAAATAGATATTGGGGAACAGGTTGTGAACAGCTTCCATACAGATATAGGGAACAGGTTGTGGGCAGTTCCCACACAGATATGGGGAACAGGTTGTGAACAGCTCCCATACAGATGGGATTGGGAACAGGTTGTGGGCAGTTCCCACACAGATATGGGGAACAGGTTGTAAGCACTTCCCACACAGATATGATTGGGAACAGGTTGTGGACAGTTCCCACAGATATGGGGAACAGATTGTGAACAATTCACCCAAGAAGACAGGTTATGAATTGTGAAGCGTTGCACAAGAATTATTCAAAAATTTCTGACATTTTAGGGTGGCAGAAAGTCATGCACCTTATCAAAATTTCTCCTTATTACAGATATTTCTTTTCACACTGATAGCATAACAGGATATCCAACAAAAAGATATGTTTTTACAGTAGTTTATCACAACCAATAGCTATCATACATTGATTATCCAAAGCTTTCTTGAGTAAGCATGTGAAATTGGATATGAACCTATATAACAATGTAAAGGCAAGAGAAAAGTAATAGTATATTGCAGTATCTTAATATCATTTTGCCATAATAAAAACACTTAAGTTTGCAATTTTACTATAATAAACATCAGTATTAATCAAAGGATCAAATTCCATTTTCTTTTTCATGATTGCATAAAATACACATCCTGCAAGATATTTTATTTTACCGTTGAGGCTGATCACAAATGTTAAAATTTCCAAAAATATTTTTTTCTAATTTTGATTGTTTTCTCATACACAAGTGTTAAATCACTTCAAAATAGATTCTAATTTCCATTTATATATACAGAACAGGTATTTCTGTTGATGCTTTTCTACTATGTAGGTTTTATACATTTATGTAATGATTTTAACTAGAAAGTTTCAACAATGCAAATCCATATCCTAGAGCGTGTGGGACATTATGTTCCAGGTATATTAAGTCACTAGTGTCAGGTAAAAGTAATAGTATCCTTACATTTTTCAACATAGCGCTATCATCACAATAATATTGATCCAAAAAGTTTGATGGTTTCGTTCTGATTACATGATTCCTATTTAAAGTGACAACTTGTGAGCCGAAAAAGTTCAACAGTGATTTGAAGTTAGAAAACAAATATCATTGCACACCATATATATTAACCAATCAGATTACATGTCACATTATAATTTATTGATGTTTGAAATGCAGACAGTTTCATCAAAAGAAAATATTGATTGTGTCTATATTTCCAAATGTTTTATACATTGTAACTACATATTTGTTCTCAAATACATTTCAATAAAGATGGGACTTTATAGTGTTCAGGATTTGAAGGAAGAAATACTTTGTGCTACAAACCTATAGATACCGCAAACAGTTAATTCAAAGTGACTTGAATATATATTTACAATTTTTTTTCTGTACAAGAAATATAGCTGCCAATCCGCCTACAACGTTAATGATGAATATTCCTGAATATTGGTTCAACAAGATACATGCAGGTCTGCTCGGACAGCCAATAACTGGACAACACCTTGTATTGTATATATCCGATCAGGTAACCAAACAGTACATCACTAACATGATGACGCCCAAGCATCAGTCTGGATGCAGCGACAAAAACTGACCACAGCAATATGAGTCCTGGGAATGACGAATTCACAACCAGTCTTTCAGTTAGAAGGAAGGCCACCATTGCTGCTCGTGTAGCATGGCCGGATGGAAAGGAATAGTTGTCAACAGAAAGTGTTGCAAACATGTCCATTTTATTGTGTGCTGGTCTTGGTCGCTGAAACAGGAACTTCAGAAATGCCACTACTATCAGATCACCAAGAAGACCTGCAAGAAAAAAATGAATCCTAAATATCTATATGATATATATTAATCAGCAATTAGGAAAACTATTCAAATAACGTCAGCTTCAGGACAGTTTCAACTTGAAATCTTGCGATTGCTATTATCTGCGATATGATAAAATTTCAATTAATTCTGGCAGATAAGGTAATACAATTTATTATTCTGCAGAAGCTGCCTATCGGGCACCAACTACAAGTCCTATGCCACCTGACAAAGTACCTCCATAGTGTGTAAGTTTATGTGTGGAATATAAGGGTTTTGTTTTGTAGTAGCTGGTAGGATCATGCTTCCAGCAGAATTTATTTTTCCTGACAATTAGAAGGCTGCAGCAAAGACACTGTAGCATCTACCTCAGACTATTTTATACTCCCTTGGTTAATGCATATGAATTGTGTGAACAGTAACAATTTCTCTGAAAATCCAGGCTATAACATCTTAAGGGATTGAGCCCTGACCATTGTGTGAAGACCTGCAGATTGGTAAAGATTTGGCCAGGTCTATTTGGAGTTCCCAGGTTCAAATTCCGATCTGGACCCATTTTTGTTTTCCTCTCCTGTTACAGTGTAGCCCGAGTTTCCTCTGGCCCTGACACCAGACTTGTACATTTTGATAGATAGATGTCTGGTGTCCAGAGCTAGTTATATATATATTAACAGGTTTCCAGGGGTGCAGAGAGCGAAAGTGAGCATAACCCCTGGATATCGAGGATGACTGTAGGGGACTTAAAATAGCTGCTACTAATCACTAAGGTGATTCACTAGTTCTTGCTGAAATCTACTAGTCTAGCTAGCGTTAGTGTCAACCCCTGACTATGTAAAAAAAACAATGTCTCGTCATTAGAAGCTACATAATATCGCAGCTATGTGTGCACCATTTGGCATGGGATAACAAAATCTAATTAACAGTTATAAATTAACTGTTATCTTCTGGGGCGGAGACTTAGTAAAAGGAGAGTGGTGCAGAGACGTATAAAGCCATGTTTATGTGTTATATACGTCTCTGAGTGATGTAAGAATGAGACAGGTGACCAGATTACTGGTACTAGTCCAAAATAAATGACTATCTCTTTAATAAATAATGGAGCAGATACTTTGTTGTCTACCTTCTGGTCGGTTGCTTCGTTGTAAGTAAACTTATATTGTGAAGTGATCACTGTTTGTTGATTGTGTANGGCGGGGGGGGGGGGGGGGGCAGGGGTAATGTTCAATACATATGTAATAAACTAGGTCCATACTCATGATAAAATTACACTCCCTAGTTTTGCTATTTACCTATTAATAAATTAATTAGAACTTCGATGTGTGCTGCTTTGTGGAGAGTCAGTAGCAAGGCAACGGTTCCTAATAGCCAAGGAATTCCATGGCAAGATATTTCCAATGCCTTCATCAGAGGTCGGAGGTTTCCAACCGAGGAATCCTTGTCGGCACAAATACTGCATTTCTTCGTCAGTCTAAGGTCGACCGAGGCTATAGACTTCAAAAAAGAATCAACTGTTTTAATCAGTTTCTGGTGTTGCAAGTCCTTATTGCGACTATTAGAACCATTGGGCCTTCGTTTTTTTCTTGCAATGGATGACATTTTCGTTCCTCAATCGGCTAGTTCTAGCCAGGCTCAATATAATCTCACGATTTCATTGGTCGACGTCGAACTCCCGGGAAATCCCTTTCGGTGAGGAACTCTGGGTAGAACACTATATATAGAAGGCGTGCTTGTTTCCATGACTGCAATGTCTTTTTTGTTTAAATTATTTTGAAACAATGCTTATAAGCTCAAATGATATCAATTTATATCTGTACTAAATAAAAATGCATATTGCAACAATATATTTTGAATATACTTAGTTTGGAAAGAATTTAGTTGTGAAATTTGTTTAATGGTCACGTGATTTCCATCTATGACGTCAAGGAGAGTATTTCGGGAGCGGGAGATACAATATGATAGTTTAGCGTTTGACAGCAAGCTCAAAATGTATACGAAAGAACAATTATTGACCACATATTTTCCTGAATATGAAGAAAATTAACACAGCTTAATTTCAAGTAAGAAGAGTGCGCCAAAGAAAACTTCAAGAGACTGTCACTCGTAAGGAAAGAATATAAAACATGTCGAAAAAAACTGAGCCGGAAAACAGCCCTTCTTGGTGTAATCAAAACGCCATAGGAGCAGATGTGGTTCCCGATATTTTATCGAAGATTAGAGTATTGAACTTGAATGCAAGAATTGAAAACCAACCAACTACAATAGATGAAAGTTCAAACGCTGTTTTGAAGTACCAGACTCCAAATTTCCGGTAAGGCAATAGAACTTAAAACATCCACGTTTTGTCAACTTGGCACTTGACATAACTTCCTACGCATAATCATTTATTTTTCCGTCGTACATAATAATTTGAAATTAGTATCAGTCCTTGCAATATGATCCGCACACAGGGGTGGGCCACCCCTGGCCTGCAAGGACGGTCCGTTCGTTTCTCAATGTTGGTTTTTCATTGAACTTTGAAGACCAAGAAGATAAATAAGATTCTAAACCTGAACTAACATTTTTCACAGCTGAATGTATATATTACAATTGCCACTTTTCTAATCAATCAAAGTTGTTTTCAGAGTCTCGGCCACCATAGAGATGGCCCCAATGCCTGAAGATCATAAATGGAAGGTTGGTTGGATCCAGGCTTGTACAGACATGATGTTTCACAATACATATGGAGATGAAGGATAGTAAGTAGTTAAGTACATGTATTATAGTTTAACTGTACATGTGCATACATGCATTTAAGTTTTAACACAAAAACAGTCAAAGCAGTTAATATTTTTCTGAGAACAGGAACGATCATTTTAATATGGTAATAAATGATAATTTAATGGTAAGATTAAACTCATTAACAAAAGTACATTTTACTTCATTTATATCACTATAATAATTAAATAATTATATATCAATAATAATTGCTAAAGAAATTATCAGCACTCACTTTAATTGCAAACCAATTTGATTTTGGGGTTAAATCTCTCCAATGTTGATAGAGATTTGATTTCATGTGCACTGAACTAGATTGTTGTTTGTTTTAACCCATATCAACATTATATAAATTGTATACTTTGTATTAAAAAAAATAACGAGTCAATGTATATCAGTGTACAATATCATGCTAAGTACATAAAATGAGTGTCTTAAAATTATTAGGCGTTCGTGAAAAAAATCACACCACAAATTTTAAGTCTGATTTGGATACAAGCTACGATTTAAAATATTCATCAATCAGAGTTCTTCTGTGTCTTTTACACCATGATGTGCGGTACTGTATTTTTCCTCTTTCAATCTTTCAGTACAAGTTGGGAATTTCCAGAACTGACCAGCGGACAACAAGTAATGATAAGCGACTGTGATGGTCATCACTACCCATGGTATGGATCCCGCAATGAGACTGTTGTGTTTCAGGGTCCATGCACCATGTATCAATCCGCCAATATCAGCATGAATGACAACTTCCATCCTCACGTGACATGGCGTAATCCAGCAAACCGTGGCCAGAATGAACCAAACCTGACAAAGATTGTCCGTGATCAGTCCTTTAATGTCTGGCTTGTTGCTTGGAATATGTCGGAACAAAAAGCTTACATCCTCAAAACTGTGCGATGGAACATGCGGTTGGACATTAAAGTTGATCCAAAGAAACCATTAGGACAAAGGGCAGAATTAGTCAGCAACCCAATCCCTAAACAGCCAGAGCTACTAACAGAGAATGTTCCTCTACCAAGATGTGCCTTGATGCCCCCTAATGCCAACAGTGCTCAAATGCTTGTTTGGAGGCCAGCAACTGGACGACCATTGTGTGTTATACCTCCTGTATGGCAGAATGATGTTCCAGTCGAAGAACAAGTGCGAAAATATGATAGCAAACTCTGCAGACTTTAAAGATTACATATTTACATTTCTTGAGGTCTGGATACCAATAGAGTTTATATGATGTAGTTTTACACTTTATTTTATATGTATATATTGACTTTTGAAGGAAACTATAATATATATTTTTAATGCTTTTTGTAATTAATGGTAAGTAATTTATAAATTATATTTTTACAATCAAGGTTCTTTAATACTATCAGCAATCATGCAAGTCTTTTTCTGATTCTGTGATAAATAATTGTGACACCCAATAAATCATATTTAAATTTGAGGTACAAATTTTGAAATTTTACAACATTCAATTTTTTTAATTTATTGCTATTCAGTCAATTTTATTTTAATTTAAGTTAAGAACTATTCTCAAATCTGAAAAAGGTAATACACTGCATATTTATTGAATAAATATTCAGAAAATCACATCAATGTTGTGTTGTTATTAGCTTATGATTGATATACTCTTGTGTATGTTTATCAATGTAGGGACATATTCTTCAGCACAAGATTAGATGTCAGTGTTAAACTGCTTAAATACCTGTCAATGACATTTTGAAAACAGCAGGATCATGGTCTTATGATCTTTGCTGTAGGAACTAAAACAAATCTGTGACTGCATATGAACCATTGGCATTCATAACGGCAGGGGATCACATGTCCTCCCTTTGCTAGATGTTGTTATTCTGATATGTTTACAATTGTATGTAATTCATAAGTGATAATGTATATCAGTTACAATATATTTTGATTGCTGCACAACTTTAAAACACGAATGCTAGTAACTTCACTTGTGTCCTAGGAGAATTCCTCTCTGACTTTTGACTTGCAGATTACTCTTGTTGGTTAAATATTTAATTATTAAATCAGCATTTGCCCATAAAGTGGTTAAGTTTTTGTCGGGACAATTAGCCCTTTCATTTCAATCCTGTTTCCTTTAAATGTTGAAGAGTTTACCAATATTTTACATGGTTGTGCATGTGTATGAGGTATATCAATATCATTATAATTTATATACATTGTCTTGCCTTTGAGTAGTAGGACAATTGCAAACTGTTCTGGAATACCACGGTTGCCTTTTTATGCAGCAAATTTCTGTACAGCTTGGTAGGAAAGAATATGACACTACCTGGACAACTGAGGATCTGATTCTCTTGTAGCTTGTTAGGATTTCCCACTATTATATATATAACAATGGCGATATGGCTGGATTGCTACAGTATATCACATATGATAGGCATCCTTTAAGATACAAAAGCCATGCAAGTTAAGTTGATATACAACAAGTAGTAGTTTAGTAACTGACCTTAACCATTCTTTTTAACCTGGTCACTGAAGTTGAAAATGTAGGTCAGAAGCAGCATCTGAAGCATCAAATGTGATGAGCATCCTTAGATACATAAGCCATGCAAGTTTAGTTGATGTACAACATGTAGTTACTTAGTAACTGACCTTAACCAACCTTCTTAACCTGGTCAGTCAAGTGGAAAATGAAGTTCAGAAGCAGCATCTGAAGCATCCCATGTGATAAGTATCCTTGGATACATAAGCCATGCAAATTTAGTTGATGTGCAACAAATAGTTACTTAGAAACTGACCTTAACCAATTTTCTTAACCATAGTGCAGGTGGGGCCTGCCCTTAACCAATTTTCTTATGATTTGTTACCCTTTGTTGGCAATTTTAAATTTATCTTGACAAGTAATTTTAATTTCCATCCAATTTCGTATGTAATATTGTTAGCTTACCTGGCACGAAGTGCCTAGTGAGCTTATGCTGTGGCGCGGCGACCTGAGTCCGTCCGGCTGTCCGTCTGGCTTCAATATTTTACTTTAAACGACTTCTTCTTAATAACCGAAAGGCCTAGGGTAATGATATTTGGCCAAAAGCAAGCTGAGATGAAGGGCTACAAAGTTTGTTCAAATGAATGACCTTCACCCATATTCAAGGTCACAGGGGTCAAATATGTTAAAAACTTTAAACAACTTCTTGTCAATAACCAAAATGCCCAGGGTAATGATATTTGGCCAGTAGCATGTTTAGATAAAGTGCTACCAAGTGTGTTCAAATAAATGACCGTCATCCATATTCAAGGTCACAGGGGTCAAATATGTTAAAAACTTTAAATAACTTCTTCTGAATAACCAAAATGCCCAGGGTAATGATATTTGGCCAGTAGCATGCTTAGATAAAGGGCTACAAAAAGTTTGTTCAAATAAATGACCTTCACCCATATTCAAGGTCACAGGGGTCAAATATGTTAAATTTTTTAAACAACTTCTTCTGAATAACCAAAATGCACAGGGTGATGATATTTGGCCAGCAGCATGCTGAGATGAAGGGCTACAAAGTTTGTTCAAATAAATGACCTTCACCCATGTTCAAGGTCACAGGTGTCAAATATGTTAAAAACTTTTAACAACTTCTTCTGAATAACCAAAATGCCCAGGGTGATGATATTTAGTCAGTAGCATATCAAGGGCTACCAAGTTTGTTTAAATGGATGACTTTGAATCATATCAAGGTCACAAGGAGCAAATATGTTTAAAATCTTTAAACAACCTCTTCTGAATAACCATGGGTCCCAGGATGTTGATACTTTGCAAGTTGCATCCTGAGATGAAAGGCTATAAAATGTGTTCAACATAATGACTTTGTTCGACTTTCAATCACAGGGATGAAATGTTAAAAAAAAAATAACAGGTTCTTTTGAATAAATTTAAATCATAAATACCGATATTTTGCCTGTAGCTTTATTTTAGATCACCTTTAAGGTTACAAGTGTGAGATTTATACCAGGTGAGCAATGCAGGCCCATTGGGCCTCTTGTTTTAATTTTGTTTTAATGAGTAAATGCCCTTTACACGGACCGCAATGTCCATATTTTGTACCATAGTCTTTGAAGCTACAGGGACCAGTTTTATTTTTAAAGTTTGTCTTTGTGAAACAGATATAGTTTTCACAAAATTATTTTCACATAGTAGACCCTAACAACTACCATCATGTGCACCCAATGTTTTTTTTATTAGTTTTACCATAAAATACAAGGACAAACTTACTATGAAATTAGTTGCCGAAGTCCAAGTAAACAATTATTGGAAAATGGCCAAAATGATCCCTTTCACTCTACTTTTTGAAATCATTGACCAAATAAATGCTGTGAAACAAAATAGCTTGCCGTTACCATCTATACAATCAAATAATCAAACTCTAGTAAACAAAATGCAAGGAATCATGTCTATGCATTGTGGTGAATGTGGTACATGGGTCTGCTCTGCTATGAAGTCATTTAATACACAAACTTCTACAAACTTGAAAGTTCAATGTTTATCAAATTAAACAAATGAGACAGTTTTGCATTTTTGTACACATGAAGGAACAAACAAAATGTAAGACTGATCTGTTGTCTGAAGATTAGAGCATGTGCATCTTCAAGGAGATGAAATGAAATGAAATCTGGAAAACAAGGTAGAGTCCATTCCTTATTTCCATGTTTTTTTTAATTGTTGCTAAATTAAGGAGTTTATTACAACAGTTGATGTCACATGTGGTCAATAAAAATGATAACAGGTTTGATAACATTTCAAAAGGTGACTTTATTTTCTATATATCTTTTGAATAGCAAACATCAGCTTAACATGCATGTCTTGACAATGCAACATTTCTCATTCAAAAATCACTTGGTTCTCTCTCTATCTCTCTCTCTGTCTGTCTCTTTCAATACATATAGACAATACCAGGGAAACACTGGAAGATTTAACAAACAATACAGCACACAAGGAATAATTAGTCAACATGGGTTCAGAATAAAAACATCTTTTTTTAATTGTAACACTTGATGTAGATAATATTAATTGCTACCCCATGATGTATCAGTTTCTACATGTATTTGACCTTGTAAAAAGAATTCTTGATGTTGCAGTATATACATAGCCCAATCTACATGAGTCTTGATGTAGCAGTATCTTAGGGAATTCTGATGGAACAGGATCTATATGAACCCGAACCTAAGGAAACACTGATGTAGCAGTATCTACCGGTATATACCCTAACCTTTGACATTGGTACTTTCATTTTTAAAATTTTAGCACTAAATGCGATGTCAAACACTTCTATTATACCAGACAAGTTTCTGTTTTTGTAAACTGTAATTCAATATTTCAAAGGATTTTATAGAATTATTTTAACAACGACAACAAGTACATGTAGTCTAAATACTTTAGAGGATTTAACAATACTAACAATCAACTAACAAGTGTACTCAGTGTATCTAAGATTAAACATAGATAGTAAGATACTGGGTTTTAGTGTAAGAGTTTGTGTCATCTTATTTAATCGTAGGGGAGACAACACAATACATTATGTACAAATTGCACAATAGTGGGTCATGGGACAATCTATCTAAATTAATTTCAAACCTCAAAATGGAATTCATAACAATAAAATATAAGATAGTAGCACTCCTATAATGTACAATTAAGTGTCCACATCAAGCAAAGGATGAACTCACTAAAACACCTGACAGTGAAATACACCTTTTATAATCATACACATTTTTTTTTTTTAAATAAATGTATTGTTTTCATCAATGTTTATGTACACATTTTATACAATGTATAAGTATCTTTAACATACAGTTAAAAAGTGATCATTCTATTCAAACAGTTGAAAGGACTTAATGCCTGAATAATTTCAACCTATATCAAGATCTAAACCCAAGTGACAATTACAATTTATTGCACTTTTTTTGTCAACTCATACATTTCTAGGTTAAACAGTAGACTTGTCACTTATGGAGCCAAAGCTAAGATACACTAAATAGAACACTGTACACTAACTAGTGAGGCACTAAATGAGAAAGCAACTGTTGGTTCAAATGTCTAAGCAAGTTTACCATCCAACCTTATTGTAATGAAAACCTACTTTATAATATGATTAAGCACTCACTTACCAGGTAGTGACTGCATTTACAAGTATCATATGTTCAGTGTTAAATCTATCTATAAAATGCATAGATAAAGTGATTTTACATTTGGTGGTAGGTAAAATGTAGAGCTTTCCAATCAAAATGAAAACTGCTACGAGTATAAGGTGAACACTGAAATACTGATAGGTATGTTTACAGTATTGCTGGGACCACATAACAATCTGATTGACCTTTTAAATGTGCCAGGTTAAATCGCAAAACATTTCGAAATAAATACTGAATTAATACTTGTTTTGTTTTGTAATAACGAGGTCCAACTGCAAAATGAGTGTCCATCACAATCCCAAAACATTAAAATAGATCAAAGTAGAAGGTTCAGTTTAAATACATGTGGAAGTAGTTTAGTACTGTACCTGATAACAAACATCAGATCAAAATTAAAAACACATCAAAACCCCAGGAGTCTGATCTACACAGAAATTCCTCCAGGGAACCATTGTTACTCAATTAAAATAAAATAATCCTGAATATAAAAATCAACTTCCTGGCAAACGCAAACTGTATGCTGAACATGTTTAAATGGAGTGCATTGCAGGTGTAGTGTGGTTGGGAAGAAAAGGATGGTTTAATGAGAAAATATTATCACACCTGTACATTATTTACAACAGTAACATCATTAAGACATAAAACATCAAGAAGAAAATATAAATTAATAAATTTAGATATTCAATTATTAACCTTTTATTTACACAAAAAATATGTTATTCTTCTAGTTTGAATGGACGGAATAATTCTGTGTTAAGAATTATTAAGTTTTTAGAGTTAACTTACAGTACTATTATGTACATGTAGGAAAACTAAAGATGCAGTTCAAATTTTGCATAAACAACACATTCTAGTAAAGACACATTTTTTTTCTCCAGAAATACTCTCAACACCTTCACATCTTAAAATATTCCAGCATAGAAAAACAGTTCTTTAAATCCTTTCAACATCTTTGTAACTCAAAATATTCCAGCATAGACAAATTTCATTTAAAACTGTCTTCAACATATCACAACACATTCCAACACAGACACATTTCTTTTTCTTCTTCAAAATATTCATAACAACACGTGCACATTCCTGCATAAACACTTTTCTTTAAATTATTTTCTCATTTCTCATCTTCATAACATGATGATCAGTAACTTCAATCAAGGTACATAATAATATTTCTCCCTGACAAAATCATAAATGTTAAACATGATTTAATTTGAACAGATCTGCTTGTACAAACAAAAATTAACTATGTAGGATGAACTTAAGGGTTGTCCAGATAATACAATGCCTTACTATTCATTAATTATCTATGGACCAAGTGTCAGTCAGTTTCTCTGACTTCTATTTTTAAAACATCACAGCTAATCTAGTGAATCAATAATATATATTAATAACAGTGTTGGTTTCACACGAGCCAGCAAATCAGCTAGATTAAAATGCTTAAGTAAAACAAAAATCTGCAATAATTAACAAATAATAATGCTGAAAATCACAATAATCATAAATGCTAAACTACTTCAGTAAATAGAAACTTCTGGATATTATCTTAAACCAAAAAAGAGGATTTTGGATCTATTGGCTGTTTTTATTTGTTATCCGAGTAAATGGATGCAATTTTCTTTTTCCAACCCTAGGAGTTTTACAACAACAATGTTTGGTACTTGTAGAGGGGAATGTAAGTGCATTTTTCAATTTTGGTTAAAATTGATCTAGAGCTTCATACCGAATTGGATTCAAAAAATGTCAAACATATACAATACATATATATTAGCCTATAGCAGCTATTCAAATGCCCCACATGAGTCTCACACCTCTGCTTTAGGTAGGGCAGGGATGGGGGACAAAGTCTAAGCCCCCAGTTATACAACACCAATTTCCTGGTTTCGGAATGCTTCATACAAACTTTAATAGGTGCCCTGCCTCTCAGTCCACAGCAGGCCTACATTTCATTTAGTCCAGTGGTTCTAACCTAATAGTCTTTTAAAGTTGAAATTGATGATGAATGCTGTAAACTAAAATGACTCTCACAAGTTATAGGGAACTGTTGTTGAGTGATCTGATATAACAGAAAAAGTCAATAATGAACACCAGATGCTTCTGTTTTCTATTCCAGACACTAACCATAAGGACAGCATTGTTTAAGTATTTTCATGGTCCCATAATTCCATGATGTAAAACATACTGAAATACTGGTATACAACTTCAGAATCTATTTGAGGCCATGCCTTCATATTTCTAAAGCAGATCTTTCCAAGTCTGAGGACAAATGAAATGAATAAATTATAACACTTCTTACAGATCTAATAAACAGCAGAAAACATAGTATAGTGATCTGGAATGCTAACAAAGCCCTCATTTTTTTTTTATTAACCACCATAAAAAAAAAATGAAAGACAAGAAAAAATGTATAACTCTAACAACTGATAATCCTTAGTCTGTGAATGACCTCCCTATACACAATCCATGAGGGTTAGATAACAACAGCAGGTCTACAGTATTATGCAAACATTTGATGCTTAGCAAATAAAACTATAACATAGTGCCAAACAAACTTATGATGGATTTCAGTCTACTTAATCAAAACATCTGATAGAACCGGACTAATGATACTTTTCTACTCAATCAAAACATCTGATAGAACCAGACTAATGATACATTTCTGCTCAATTAAAACAGATCAACAGAACTGAGCTTAACACATTGATGACAGAATCTACAACATCACACAATTAACAATACCAGTTAATTAACTGAGGAACTATAATTGATTAGTTAACCTACAAATTACTTCATGTGTAGATCTACTGTACTCCTGTACTGGACCAACTCAAATGTATTGAGTATTCTATGCATACTGATCAGTTTTACTTTTGACACACCAGTTAATTCTGCATTAAATATACTGATTATCTAATTTCAAAAGTTTACTTGCAAAATATTAAATGTGATTCTAGGAAAGTTTTATTACTTCATAAATGGCCTTATTAGCCTGGTTTGAATTTTTCATAAATAGGCATCACAAAATGTTTAATCTCTTATAAAACTATCTATAACCTTTCATATCATATTTGTGTTTATTGTATCATTTCAATAATGTTTGATGGGAGTTTTGACACATGATTTTATGAATGAACAAACACATATATAACAAAACCGAATCCACTTTGTCAATAAAGTAGATACTTATGTGGAATGTAGCGAGTTCAGACACGTGCTGATATTAAAGTTACTTCCCTTGAACCTGTACAGAGAAGTGATAACTATACAATGATCTGATACGATGGATATCAAACATGCATACAATATCACTGTGTATTTACTTTCAGTTTTTCGTGGCTGCAGCAGAAAATTACAAAAGAAAGTGATGTTTCATGTTATACTGGTGCTTTAGTTCCAGAAGAATGGATCTTAAATACTAACTCCATTTATTATATAGTTCCACAAGGCCTTAAGTTTTAGATTGATCAAATGGAATCATTTTATTTAGCTACAAAAATGTATAAAGATTTCCAAATTTAAAATGTAAAGTTTCTAATTTTAAAGGATGAAAAATCCCATTTATTCCCAAGGCCTGAATTTCTTGAATAACCTGTACAGTTAAATAAAAAAATTGAATAAACAAACCCAGAGAGATTTCATAATCTTGCCTTCTACTATTTCTCTGATCAAAACATTTCTCCAATTCATGCATTAAGATTGAGACCCGTGACTATTCAACATCAGCTTTCAACATAGTGTTCAGCTACGGGTTACGTGGTAATACAATTTTCACACTTCCGACAATGGCTAAGGAACATGAATTTGTCAATCATGTAGATTGTTCACTAAAATTAACAACCGTTTAGAAGGACACATGATGCACATGTCAAATGGAAAGCGATAAATGTGATCGTTTCAAATGAGCAATATTGATCAAATAAAAATGTAATACTGTTCCTTTGAATTTAATATGGTTTTGAATATGAGACGGATCATTTCTGGTGATGTATTTTACACAACTTGTTCCTGTTGTGGTTGCTGTGTTGGTTGCTGGGGTATCTCTTGTTGTTGTAACTGTGGTTGTTGGGCAACCATGGCTGGATGCTGTTGGAACTGTGTCTGGTTTGGAGGCTGCTGGAGGTGGGGGTGATGTGGATGCTGGGCCTGTGGCATGGTGGGTGTGGCCTGACTGTGGCGTTGGTGCATCTGCTGAGCCACTTCATTTACATAGGTAATGTCGGGCCGCTGTTCTGGCTTTGGGTTGATACAAATGGCAATCAGGTTCCTTAGCTAAAATAATAAAGGAAGTTTTATAAAACCTTCACTTCCCAGGGAACACTTGGGCCAGTATATAATATGTCTGTGTCAATTTGTTGTTATACCTGTGAAGCCTAGCTTTCTAATAATGATTCACACAGGGCATGGGTATTTTTCTCTAATTCCAACTACCAGAATAACCATGAAAATGCGTTTGGACTGGCTACCATTTTGAAAATATCAATTTTAGCATACTCTGTATTTGCAAACAGAGTTTGCAAAGAAAAAATAATCTCATCTTTCCAACGTGCACGGTTAATAATTTTAATTTTATCACGTTGGCTTTTACGCATTGCGGCATCGGTGTTTTTTTCGAATTCGTGATGTCACGCTGTTGTTGAGCCAATGTGATGTCACGTCACATGAAATGGAGTGTAAGATAGAAATTTTCTATACCCTTTTCTTACCATGCACAGCGCTATCTTGCACACACGGAAATGAGAGAATATAATATACTTACCTCAAGCATGTTCAGTACATGGCCACAATAAATGTACAAATTAACTATTATATGTTCATCCGATACAAACTTCCAAATAACAACTTGCTTGATTGTAGTGAAAATGTATGTTACAGTGAATACCAGTGTCTAATGGGATGCTGTAACATGAGGCATCAATCTCGAACAAATACTTGTTTATATCTACTTTGTGCAAAAGAAAGAAAAAAGAAAATCATAAAAAATCCTCCACTGAAAGAAATATAACAACCAATACAACACGAATCATCTATACTCACATCTTCTGAGTACCAATCGGCTGGCAAAGGTGGGTAATCACACTGGTCAATCTTTTTACAAAGAGAGTACAAGTTCATCTTGTCTCCATAGAAAGGGGACTGCAAAGCTGCCATCTAGTGAAGACACATTTTTAAGGTTGAGTTAAGCTAGACTTTTAAACATTTAGAGTACATTCGCGTATCCGGTTGAAACGGTTGAACCTGTAAAGAAAACGACAGGCACAGATCTGGACCAAGGCTGACCTCAGGAAAATTTTGAACGGGTAGATTGAGGCGTCCAGATGTACCTGACTGAAACTAAAATGCTGACTATTGCCAGTTTGCGTTATTTCTTTCTAAAACAATTCAACTTACATGTAGTTTTTAAGATACGTTATGTAATTCAGTGGACAGATGAAAGATGGTCATACTATTCTTGATACACTGTTTTTTATTCTCCGAAACTGTGCATTTATAGCTCTGCTTATAGAACGGTCCAAGTGCGTTCGTTTATCGTGGTTAATTTCTTAGCCACACGTACCGTTGACAGATTTAATAGCCGACAAGAGACTGAGTTGGCCTCCAATACTAACTGGGACCCTTATTTTGTAAAATTATAGAATACTTAACCACTGCACAATTTTTATGACCGTAACATTTTTAAAAAAGCTATTTAAGTCTGAACCATTTTGAAAGTAGGTCAAGGTCAAAGATTTGAGATGACTTTGTAAGTACTTTACCTCAATTATCAACTGTTAGTACATTTGTAATTGCTTTTATTGGTTCAGATGGTAGTGGCAGGGGATCAAAGAATCAAACCCTGGCCAACTTGGTAAGGTAAGAGTGCTATCCACGGCACAATCAGACCAACCAAATGCTGACCTTCAATCCCTGCCAATCCTCATTACATCTTTTTAATCTCAACACAATACATAAGAAAAGAATATGCAATAACTCGTTCACTCACTTTAACTTGGAATAAGGTGAACCTGAAGTTTTAAGTTCTATTTGAACAAGTACACTGATTTATTTGATCCGTCAAATAATACTTACCTCATATAACAGACATCCTAAGGACCACATGTCTGACTTGAAGTTATAACCTGTCTCATGGATCCTTTCCGGAGACATATAATATGGGGTCCCAACTAGTAGCAAAAAAAAGAGTAAGTACAAATGTAGTATAGCGTCCCATAAAGTGATAAATCTAATACAAGTGGTATATGGTTCCAACACAGGGGTTGGTTACAAATCTAATACAAGTAGTATAGGGTTCCAAAACAGGGGTTGGCTACAAATCTAATACAAGTAGTATATAATTAGGGTTCCAACACAGGGGTTGGTTACAAATCTAATACAAGAAGTATAGGGTTCCAACACAAGGGTTGGTTATAAGTCTAATACAAGAAGTATAGGGTTCCAACACAGGGGTTGGTTACAAATCTAATACAAGTAGTATAGGGTTCCAACCCCTGTGTTGGAACCCTATACTACTTGTATTAGATTTGTAACCAACTCCTGTGTTGGTTACAAATCTAATACAAGTAGTATAGGGTCCCAACACAGGGGTTGGTTACAAATCTAATACAAGTAGTATAGGGTCCCAACACAGGGGTTGGTTACAAATCTAATACAAGAAGTATAGGGTTCCAACACAGGGGTTGGTTACAAACCTAATACAAGTAGTATAGGGTTCCAACACATGGGTCCCTTACAAATCTAATACAAGTAGTATAGGGTTCCAACACATGGGTCCCTTACAAATCTAATACAAGTAGTATAGGGTTCCAACACATGGGTTGGTAACAAATCTAATACAAGTAGTATATGGTTCCAACACAGGAGTTGGTTACAAATCTAATACAAGTAGTATAGGGTTCCAACACAGGGGTTGGTTACAAATCTAATATAAGTAGTAAAGGGTTCCAACACAGGGGTTGGTTACAAATCTAATATAAGCAGTATAGGGTTCCAACACAGGGGTTGGTTATAAATCTAATACAAGTAGTATAGGGTTCCAACCCATGGGTCCGTTACAAATCTAATACAAGTAGTATAGGGTTCTAACACAGGGGTTGGTTATAAATCTAATACAAGTAGGATAGGGTTCCAACACATGGGTCCCTTACAAATCTAATACAAGTAGTATAGGCTTCTAACACAGGGGTTGGTTATAAATCTAATACAAGTAGGATAGGGTTCCAACACATGGGTCCCTTACAAATCTAATACAAGTAGTATAGGGTTCTAACACAGGGGTTGGTTATAAATCTAATACAAGTAGTATAGGGTTCCAACACATGGGTCCCTTACAAATCTAATACAAGTAGTATAGGGTTCCAACACAGGGGTTGTTTACAAATCTAATACAAGTAGTATAGGGTTCCGACACAGGGGTTGGTTACAAATCTAATACAAGTAGTATAGGGTTCCAAACAAATCTAATACACATATGCTATATATACTCATATGGGTCACATTTGTAACAAACCTCTGTGGTTTCAAATAGTGATAAAATGCATGTTGTAAGGGGTAATAGAAACAAGAGGCCCAATGGGCCTGCATTGCTCACCTGGTATTAATCTCACAGTTGTAATCTTAAAATTGGACTTAAATACAGCTACAGGCAGAATATCAGTGTTTGATTCATTAGAACCTATTAAAAGATTTAAACATATGATGCCTGTGACCTGGAATGTCGAACAAGAACATTAGGTTGAAAGTGGGTCAAGGTCATTCATTTGAACAAACTTGGTCATCCTTCATCCTAGCATGCTTTAGGCCCAATATCAGTACCCTGGGCCTTTTGGTTATTGAGAAGAAGTTGTTTGAAGATTTTAAGACATTTGACCCCTGTGACCTTGAAAGTGGGTCAAGGTTATTCATTTGAACAAACATGGTAGTCCTTCATCCTAGCATGCTACAGGTCCAATATCAGTACCCTGGGCCTTTTGGTGATTGAAAATAAGTCGTTTAAAGATTTTACGACATTTGACCCCTGTGACCTTGAAAGTGGGTCAAGGTTATTCATTTGAACAAACTTGGTAGTCTTTCATCCCAGCATGCTACAGGCCTAATTTCAGTATCCTGGGCCTTTTGGTTATTGAGATGTCGTTTNGGGGGGGGGAGATCAATGTCCAGATCGTTACAGAACCAATACATATATATGAGGAAGGTGGAGAAATGGAAATTGGAGTGAGTTGGGAGGGGGGAGGGGGGGCACATGTAGTATGACATGGGGACAGTAGGGGTCCAAATTACCAACAGAAACAACAAAGTATTGTACTAATCAACAAAATAACCACATAATTTAGGCTCATGCAACTTACCTAGGGAATGAGCAGCTGTGGTCTTTGAGCTGAAGAAACGACCTAATCCAAGGTCCCCAAGTTTTACTCTGCCCTGTGCTGTAATAAATACATTGGCTGGTTTTATGTCTGAAAAGGAATTTTTGAAAAATATTAATCAAAGTTTGAAAATAATGAAAGGAATATGAAATAGCAGAAAAATTGCTATCGCATCCATTTTTTGAAGTTCAAGTGCCATCACATTTTAACAAGTGTCATGGTTTATTCAATGTTGATTAAAATATTTCAATACTTTCACCCATATCACCTGGAATATGAGCCCAGGCAATGTACCAGTATTTTAACAAAACTGAGAGCCCTTCATCATTCTGGCAAAGCTAGTATTTTTTTCAAAACCTGTTGTCTTTAAGGCAAGTGCTTTTCAAAAATTGTTCAAAAATGCTCATATATATTCATATACACATATACTTCATGGAAATATCCTTTATAATATCGATAGTGTTTTTTTCTAATGAAATAAAGCTATTCTAACTGTCAACAGCATTTGTAATATTTCAGCTAGACATGAATACAGTAATACATTGTGTAGTCCGATTTTCATTGGTCAATAATATTATAAAGCTAACAGACCAATTTTCACCTGCCCAGGGCCCATCCTAGATACTCCAGGGGTTACGCTCACATTCGCTCTCTGTACCTGTCATAGCAAAATTGAAAGCATGTAACTAGGTATTTGATTGGTCTCAGGTGAAAAAACCTGACCAATCGCTAAGGCTGATACCTGTCCTTTGAAGATTACAGGAAGCAACACCCGATCTCAAAGCCAGTCAATCTTACCGAAAGATTCTTTTGATGTACATCAAAGGATCAAATTAGTCTTCTCGTTTCATCCACAAGGTGATGCTCATGGAGCCTTCGACTTTGCTATGATATATTCCAGGGGTGCAGAGAGCAAAAGTGAGTGTAACATCTGGAGTATCAAGGATGGCCTTGGCCAGGCCGGTGATTTTCTTATCGGATGTTACTCATTAATTCAGACTAGCCCTATTCCATTATTTTTACTTTAATGATTTATATTCCTTTTTCGTAAGCCGGTCATAAACAAGGAACCATTTAAGTCCCATTAGGAATTTCACTAGCTTCAGACTAACAGGCTACAATTTGGGAGACCTGCAATGTCCATCTACCATGAAAGATGGTTAATATGAATATTATGAAGTTGAGAGTTGGAAATCCTGTTTCTGACACAGCTGTCCCTACCTCTGTGCATGATTCGTCTGGAGTGCATGTGTTCCAGAGCTCCACATATCTGTATAAAATATTTCCATATCGTTTTCTCTGGTATCAATCTGTTCTGTTTTTTAAAATGCTGAAAAATACAGATTGTAGATTCATAAACATTGTATGCAATACTTACCAGGTATTATTTGTAAATTGATATGTACAATCAACAATATTAATTCATGATTGACAAGTCTGTTATATAATTGCAGAATAAAGAATATTTCAACTACCTTGTACATGTAAATGGACATTAAATGTTTCACATTCTTTCAGGAAAAAGGGCCAAAACTCAGAAAATTGTTTACATTTCTATTTAGTGAATCAGTTGGGATACAATCTTGCATGTACCCGTATGAAAACTTGTAGATAGAAACAAGTTTTTTCATACTAATCACACAATATACTGATCATGATGACCTACCTTAATCATACGAGACAGATCCCCTGCATCTGCCAACTCTAGTACAATATTAAGCTCGTTATTTTCTATGAAAGACGACAGGTATTTTATCACATTTGGATGGTTCAATTGCTGAAAAAGAAGTAAATGATATTAATCAAACATAAATAATAAACTAGGAAAACTGCAATGGTAAATCGTCAGTATACTATTATTCTAAAAAACAATTTGACATATAAAAGCACTATTATCATACTTATAAGTTTATTCTGTCACTCAAATAAAACAAAGTGAGTGTTTATCATATCGCAGGTCTCGCAGTGTAGAGACACCAAAGCTATCTCAAATCAAAGCAGATTCAATTTTCAAATAATAGAAGAAAATGGTTACTACTATTTTGTTCCACACTATAAATTATATATGCATGATTGTATTAAACATATACTATATACAAAAGAACGACATAGATATATGTATTATGACAAGTAAAATACTTACTTTCAGGAGGTCAATCTCTTTTATACAATCTTGTCTTGCTTTTGCATCCATCATTTCAAATATCTGAAACAGAGAAAATGAACTATCATTTTTTTAGTGTATATGTGTGAAATTGTTTCAGTATATTTGTACATGCACTATATCTTTTAATCTAAATACTTGCTGAAATATCCCTCAAGATTAATAACTTGTTTTAGAAATATGACAGTTTACCTGAACCCCAAAAGTGGGACCAGGATGCCTGGTATACAGATTATTACCAATGTGTACATGTACACCACTTCTGAGGATAGATATCACTGGTAACACATCCATATGACTACGATAGAGCGAACTTGCATTTTGAGCAAGCACTAAATTAAATTCACAATGTGAGAAAAGATTCATCACTTCACATTTCGGCCCTATATTCAATCTGATGATGTCATAAGAAAAACAAATTAGGCCTACCCTTTTGTACTTTTGACAAATGGATATATTAATATTGGGTGGGAGACCTACCTGAACTTTTTTCAAAGCTACAACGCTTCCATCAACCTTACATCGTGCTCTGTAAACCTCAGAAAATTGACCCTTGCCAATTTTTTTTTCAATCTCAAAGTTCCCTAGAGTGCCATATACGCTGTCTCTCTGGTACACTGTGGCCTGTTGGAGGGTTTCGTCCTGATCCATAGGCTCCATGGCCTATATCCACCTGCTCAATGCAATCAGAAGAGATAAAATTAGTTCTAAGACATTGCTTCGAGAATGTTTTGATAATCTCCATCAAAATGGGGATTCACTTAAAAGAAAAAGTGCCAAACTGTGAATAGTGTTTCCCACAAGAATGATTAGTATGGGGCTGCACCATGCCCTTTTCCTTGACGCCATGCATATGACAAAAAAAATATCTGATGCACATTGGATGATTCAGTATTTCCTGATGACTGTTTCCAATTTCATCCTCAGGTTCGTACAATTTCTGCTTGCCCGACACCCATATGGCAAACCATTGCTCATGCATGCAGGACTACCCGATTTCAGCCTGATTCCTGCATGGGGCTACCAGATTTTCTGCTTTGTTTCACGGTTTTCCAAAAGGAATATTCTTATTTTATAATCTGTCTTTCAAATGATGTTGTGATAAGGTATCATTTGACAAGTCCAAATTTAAAGGACCGGTTAGGTTAGCCCGAGTTTTCTCTGGCCTTAACACCAGACTTACACTTTTTGACATATATATAGATGCCAGAACAACATGACCTACATGTATATGAAAACGTGGAATTATCCAACACGGTTTGGTATCGGGGAGTGACTTATCAACAAAAAGATGCGGTCGGGAAATCTTTTAAACAAGAATAATATATTCCGTTTTCAGTCACTCACTGGATCACTACGGTTTGTTGATTAGTCACCCCATGACCTACAAAAATGGTATTCGCTCAGGTGGGACATTTTGAACGATTGAAAATCGGGGAATCTACTGACGGAATTTAGCAGCTGTTGGTGATAAAAAGAGTTGATTTGGATCAATAAATAATCCATTTATCGATATAATGTGAGGGATGTGTTGTGTCATAGTTTATTTTTGTTATCAGCACCTCGATCATAACTATCCGATACCAAACGGTGGCGGAGAATTCCACGTTTTCATATAGGTCAGTGCGCTCTGGCCCAACACCAGATATCTATATGTCATAAAGTCTGGTGTTAGGGCCAAAAGAATTGGGCTACAGTTAGGTTTGGTGATACACTAGTCAATCCTTGCTGAAATCTACAAATTTAATTCTTAGACTAGCTAGTGTTGAACCCTGTCATTATTATAACTATTTTAGTAGCACTCCACTAAATATCTATTAATATTTAATTCATATAAATAATGTAGGTATTCAATGGATCATTCTATGCCGGTCTCAATTTGATAATCACAACATTGGGGTCACCGGGTGCTTTCCTTATCAGCTGGGAAGTAGTTTGACCACAAGGACCTGTGTGGAATGATTTTTTAACCGAATCCCAAAAACTCAAGACACGTTGGGAGGGCTATTTTGCCGTGAATGTAAATGTTATTATCTAAATAGCACTCCAACATTTTACATACAATTTTTCTGCTAATCGATCTCAACAAAACCCTTGTTTTGACACTGACATTGCAGTTTTGTTGCTGCCGATTGAACTCTTCTGTCTCGCATGCGTTTTTTATAATATTTGTTTCATTTCCAGTTATTGACTTATTGTTCTGGATCTAAAGTCTACCATACCTGTGAACTGGACGGAATAAAGGTGTTTTTGTTGTATATCGATAGTCCTTTCCCGAAATATGTACAGCAATAACAGGTGCGCATGTACAAGTTTTCCTGACAACCCCACTCGTAATAAGTCGGCAAATTCCGTATCTAGATTTGAATAAGAGTACCGGAATCATCCGATTGATTTGTTTGTTAACGGGAAATGCCGACGGTTCCCGATTGCTGACTACCTATTCAGAACTTTTCTAGACTTTTCCATAGTGTAAGTCACGATGTTCGGTAGCTTTCGTGTTTCGTCAAATTTTGGATGTGTGCGTAAGCAAACACATTCGTATTAGCCATTTTAGCGTCAACGATATATTATCTTTTAATAAAGAATAGCCGAAGGTATCACACTTAACGTTAAATATAAACATAATTTTAATTATAATAAAAAAAATGTACTTTCATTTTCAGATGTCCGCCAAAAATATCAACATCGGGGTCGGTAGAACGTTTACATGAATGTAGCGTATAGTCTGTTTACTATGCGTGTCATTCATCCAGAGGAAAAAAATAATCGGTCCGAGTTCTCTGGCTTCTTCCTCGCTTCACAAATTTATTGAAGACCATTTGGGAAGATTTCAAGATGTCAGAAGAGGACGGCGTACCTCCAGAAAGAGATGTAAAGGTATACATCTTTTGTAATATTCAAATGAAACAAATGATGATTCAAATGCCAAAACTGCGCATTTGGCACCACAGTAGTGACTATGTACTGATAATAATTATAAATTTATTCGGTAAAAGCATGATATAAGTACAAATATCACATATGATCACAGATTTCAATTGCATAATAATCACAGATTTATCCCAGTATTTAGATTATCACATCAAGGTTAATATCACATGTTTTGGAGCACAATAAATACAATGTATCTGCATGATGACTAAGCTTTTACAAAGGATATCCCATGAAAGCTGGATGGCAGCTTATTTCCAATGGGATCCTCTAGTAAAGATTTTAATTACTTAGACAACAAAAGGTCCTAAGAATTTGACTATATAATATATTATATAAGATTGTATAATTTTCGTAATAATATGAATAGAATAAGTTGTACTAATTGCAATAAATAATCAAGGTTTNAACCCCCCCCCCCCCCCCCCCTGAGTAATATGACCATGTTAACATGCCTTTTTGTCATAACATTACGCCGGGAGCAGTCTTAATTGACAGGAAAATATTTTTTCTTTAAATTGATGTATGATGTACCATATATCATGAAGTATAATATTTGGTAGACATCATGAAACATAAAAAAAAATGTTTGAATTTCAGTTGGTTGGACACTGTACATGTGCTGTCCCCGGATAACACAATAAGTCCCTAGTGGCTATAGCCAAACACACAGCATGTACACTATTTAATGCCAGTGCAGTGTTTCTACGATATATATTTTTTTCTTGTATGAAGGTTCATGCACTTATTATCATGTCAGAGAAAATGTCTGTCTCTATTTAGATTTCCGATTGTGAAATGTCTTAGAATTAGAAGGAAATTGAGAAATGTTTTTTAAATTAGAATCACAGTTATGGTTTAAGAACATCAAAACTGTTTAAAATCTCTAATGAGTTGTAAAATCATATTTCAAAGCACTTGCCCAGGGCAAGTTGACCTTACAAATCCACTTGCCCAAAGACAATTTCTACTTGCCTCATACAAATTAAAATGCATATATTAGAGATAAAAGACAGATTTTTTTCTGAATAGTAATACAAAATCCTAGTAACTGCCATATTACCTGAATTACAGCAAAGGATTTATTCATGTGTATTTTTTTTTTTTTTTTTTAATTATTTTGCTAAAGCCTCATTTGTTTTTGTAATTCTTGAAATCCTGGTCACGATCAGTTATATATAAACTTTATCTATTTTAAAACAATTATGAAACATGTTATTCCAACTAATATTAGTGCACTGGGGGGTCTTAATTTGTGAGGAAACAGGAGTACCCGGAGAAAGCCAATGTGTCCGGGCAGGTAATCCCGTACCTTTAAAGTTTTCACGTCAGATTGGGGAATCAAACCCCGGCCGCCTTGGTGAAAGACAAGTGCGCTATCCACTGCACAACCCGAATCCGACAAATCTGTTAGTCACGCCTTTGCAACTTCCTGTTAATAAACAGATTCATTTTCAGACCAAAAGGATGTCCACATTTGTTAACTAGTGCTTACAATCATACAATTAGTGAATAGTCCCTTCTTTATCCCTAGCTGGAGTTTCAGTTATTTCGTCAGTCTTAAAGTTTGAAAAATCGTCTGCATAGATGGAGAGACTGATAGTATTTACCCCCCCCCAAAAAATTTTTCCCCCCAAAATGAAAAATAAAGTCACGGATCAAAAAAGTAAAAACCTTTTAATTATTTCTTCTCAGTAACCATAAGGCCTAGAATGATGATATTTTGCCACTAGCATGCTGGCATGCAGTGCTATATATTATTTTTCTTCTGAATAGTCATGAGGTTAGTATACGTAGCATGCTTTAGATATAGAGTGATTTAAAGCAAAAAAATAATCTTGAGTTTCTGTAATGGTCACAGGGTTCAAAAGTGTTAAAAACCTTTGAAGAAATTCTTCTGAATAACCAATAAGCCTAGTGTAATGATATGTGGCCATTAGCATGTTTGTTTGCAGTATTTCTTTCAATAAGAATATCTTGTCATGAATGCTTAAATATCCAGGTGAGCAATACTGGCCATCTGGACCTCTTGTTTAGGTCCAGGGTGAGCCTTGACTCAGAGAGAGTGAGGAGCCAATGTTAGCCAGTAAGAATGAAGTGTGTGTGAGTATTTTCAGGAAGTTAGAGCACATGTACTTGCCTCGTCTGTCAATACACACATACTATAATATTATGGGTGTATTAACAGACATGTGCATGTGGTTATAAGAGTGAGAGAAAGGAGAGAATAAAAGTAAATGTCGGATTAATTACTTCACATTTATCATGATGAGAAATTTATTATTACTGATTTCCACTTGAGTGTGTATATGAACATGGGAAAAACATAGATATGTTTGTGGAGTAACAAGAGATCTCAGAGTCGGGGCTGAGTGTTTGATTGACTAAATGTATGTGTTACACGATGTCATGGTTGGATAAATAAAGTCATGTGTTCTATTTTATAATTAATTTTTAAAGAGTTTAACTAATTTGAATTTAAGTTTACCTTGTTTAATCAACAGCAAGTGACTATAGAGGGTTTGTCTCTCAGTATATTTAAATATATCAAATTGTCTAATATATCAAGAAAACAACACCTGTAGTATTCAAGAAAATTCTGTAACGTCGGACATCTTACTGAAAAACAGGGTATCTAGATTCAATTATTATAATTGTTGTGTTTATTCATTTGTGTAGAATCCATAGAAACAATGTCATTTGTTTTAAACCGAAGAAGCTTTTTTATCCAGTGTTTAAACTTTAAAAATGGGGGAAATAGTTGTGTAAATGAGCAGGTAAAATAGTGGTAAACACAACTTTTTATAGTTTTTCTTCTATTCAAATCAAAACTGGACACTGCTGATACTAACAAATAAACTGTTTAAATTGTTTCAATATGAGTGCATTTAGGGTAATTTTTCTCTGAAAGAGGTTTAAAATATCATCATAATGATTGAAAGGAACTGACTCATAATTTAATAGTAATATATTGACGCAACATTTTGGTTGTTAGATTATTTGAAGTTTTTGATGAAATTTTACTGAAGCAGGGGAAATAATTACCATAATTGTAGAGGCGAATTGATGCATTATCAGTTATAAATTGGCTTCTCTGGTTAATGTTTTAAACACCTGAACAATGAATATCTGCTTTGTGTTTTAGGATTTTAAATTCCAGCAGTTATGCAGATTTAGAATAAGTGACAGTCCATCAGATCTACCAAAACACAAGTCAAGATTGCTGGCATCATCATCACGATATGGGCTCGTCTTTGTTGGGTATGACACAGGTATGTTAAATACATGTACATGTAACTATAAATATATGTAACTATAAACTACCAGGTCAAAATGGCGGATATTACATGGGACGATTTTTCGTGAGATCAAAATATTTGAAATAAAAAGCATGAAAAATGGAAGGCTATTTTTCGTGAATCTCACGCTAAAATCGTAAGATATGGCATGTATGCATGGTCCTGACAAAGTATTGTTATTTTTTGGGTGGATCAGAAATCCAATATGGCCGCCAAGGCCTCCATTTTGTAAGCAAAATTTCAAACTTAAAGTCAAGTTCTGCTGGGCCGATTGAACTGAAACTTTGTAGGAATGATCGACTCATGGTCCTGACAAAGTGTTGTTATTTTTCGGGTCAATCAGAAATCCAATATAGCCGCCGATGCTGCCATTTTGAAAAACTATTTCAAACTTAAAGTCAAGTTCTAATGGGCCGATTAAAGTGAAACTTTGTAGGAATGATCGACTCATGGTCCTGACAAAGTGTTGTTATTTTTCAGGTCGATCAGAAATACAATTATTTGGTTGCCATGGCCACTATTTTGAAAATAACTCTTTCAAACTTAAAAACAAGTTCTAATAGGCCGATCTAACTGAAACTCGGTCTAGGAATGATCAGCTCATGGTCCTGACCAACTTAAGTTAACGTTATACTTAACTATTTTTTACTCAAATTGGTACATATTTCAACAACAAAAATAAATACTGTAGGACTCAGGTGACCGTTAAGGCCCATGGGCCTCTTGTTTGAAAAACTTATGTGCCCAACATTATTGTACAATGTATACAGTTATAATCTAATATTCTCCTTACATTCAATACAAACATACTGAAATAATAAAGAAACTTGATGGTTATTGATTTTGCAGAAAGTATCTTTACTATTATAGAATTATCAGAAGCTCTACTGAATGCATATTGGGGATGCTGATTTTGACATGTATTTTACGCTTCATTGTTATTGATAACATTTGCACTGCGAGTGGGGGATATCGATGACAGTGTCTTGTTCATGGACTGCAGTCAGTGATTAATTTTGATGCCTTTGCATTTTACATTGTTCAGGTTTTAAGGTCATTAAGCCTGCAGAACTCAGTAAGATTGACCAAGCCAATGCTAGAGACCGGATGACAGTTATTATTGACAATTTCCCGTTGGTTGCTGATATAACAATTCAAGGATTTGTGTCATTCATTTCCCTCAATGCTGACGAATTGAGCTTGGCTGTGGTAGTTACCAGAGATGATCTTGTGCAGGCCTATTTATATGATGTCAGAGCTTTTGCTGACAAGGTAATTCCTGGATATATACAAACATTTTTTCAAAGCATTTGAAATATTTTCTAACCTTTACATGAGTGATAAAGAAGGATTGGGGCATTCATAGGAAAAATTGGACGTTTGAATTTTGCAATGGTAGGACTTTACGCTGCAATAGCCAATTCAAATTGGAATTTTGCCAAAAAAACAGAAATTGGTAACTTAGGGCTCCTCTAGATCAAAGCAGTGAAAATTATACTGGAGAGGACTAAACAATGTCAATTTCTTATCCTAATGATAACTAGTTTAGAAGAAATTGGAGAAACACCTTTCCCCTGAACTTTGAAAGGTCAAAACACGTGTCAAATAGACATGTATTTTCCAACCTAAAAGTCAAAGCTTGTTTTTAGGACTGAAAAAAACATACTCTGTAGCTTTATAGGGTCTTATGAAAGCTGTGCTCAGTAACTATAATCGCTTTATTTTCACCCGTAGACGACACCTGTCCAGTGCTTTATGACGGTTCGGCTGACCAATGGTGGGGCTACCAGATTTGAGGATCTTGCTTGGAATCCTGTCCAGCCAAGCACTCTTGTAACTGTACAGACTGATGGTGGTATTAGTCTGTACGATATTTCTGACAAACTCACTATCGTGGCAACCATAAAAGCATCATCGGCCAACTGTGGTATGTTACTATGTTCCCTACATGTTTGATATATATCTATAAATTTTAACACATGTGATAAAGATCAATGCAGATCATTGTAGGTATGCCCCTGCTTCATAAGTGTTTGCCTTCTGTCCATATGTCCATCTGTCGACATTTCCTCTTGGTTGTAGACTTTGTGTAAAGCTCCATTCCTCTGATACTATGCTGTCATCAAATTGTATATTCAGTTACATATATGGGGCAAAGAAGTAATTCCAACAGTGTGGACAAGTTTAGCCTAAACTTGTCCCCACTGTTGGAATTACGTCTTTGCCCCATATAATATTTGAAGTAATTTGTATCCTACGGACATACCTCCATTAGGATCCAGTGTTATATGGGATTATACCGTCAATATTACTTCTTTGACCCATTCAATTACATATACATAAGAGTACTACACCTTAATGAGAAATATAGGTCACTGTGACCATGCATATGGTTAGAAGTTTTTATTATCTCCATTTCCATCACAGTTGGAGCAGGACATATGCAATATTTACAAACATTTCTAGTTTTCACAATGAGATTGTCACAATTTACATTAAATTTTCTTATTTTATCTGAATGTGTGAGAAACAAATATTGACCGTCACGAAACAAAAACATTTTCATGCTGACATACAGACTTTTATGTTTTGTGTATTTATGTTAAAATAAGATCCAAACTAAAACCATGTTTTTGACACAAGTATTCAAAGTATACTCATGCCTATAGTGTGTTGGAGTCCACGGGGAAAGCAGCTAGTTGTTGGTACGACAGACGGAAAACTGGTACAATATGATCAGGAGCTGAAGAAGAAACGGGAATGGGTATGTCCCGATATACTGACTAGGGGCAACTACAAAGGTTAGTTTGAGGTTGGAAATTAAATATCTGTCATGTTTTCACTTCCTGTATAATCCGAAAACTTCCACATATATGTTATTGCAAATTGCCCATATAACTAAACCAAAAAATTTGGGATGATAAATATTGTTATACACAAATTTTCATTTTGTAAGACATCAATCTTCAGACTTTTATTTCAACTGATATAGAAACATTGTACTGTGACTAAGGCCTGCCTAGAAGGTCAAATCATGGCAGCAACCAGGCTAAAGAAGAATGTACGTGTGCAAATTACATTGTTTTAAGAGGGCTCTGTGGTATGAAGTATTCTTCTGAAATCGAGAATATTCTTTATAACATAGATGTGGACATATTGGGTGATTTTTATTCCTATGAAGTGTTTACTACATGTAGTATAAAATATATACCCTGTATTGATATCCATTCAGTATAACTGTAGGCCTGCTACATTAGCCTGTTAGAATGGATATCAATAGCACTGACCTTTATTACTCAGTGCTTTCAACCATACCTTCTTATCTCCTATAACTCTTAAGTTAATATACACATATTTTATGTACACTGTAAAACATTGGCATGCTTCATATATAGAATATGTTTGTGGCTCATTGCATCATTACTTTCCTCGTCCTTGAATGGATCAATTCTCTATACACTGACAATCATCATATGACCCAAGCTTTTGAAAAGATGTAAAATATTAAACCATCATGGATGGATCTTTGACATTCCCGGGGTTACGGTTTCTTACATACTCTGCGACCCTGTCAGGCTCTGTGCGCCCCCACCTGTGGATGATACACATACACTAGTTTGATATTTTGATGTACATTAAAAGAATTTGGCAGCACTATAATGGTCAAATTGACTGGCTTTGAAATCTGATATCACTCTACTGTTATCTTCAAAAGCTATGTATTAGCCTTGCAATTGGTCAGTATTTTTCACCTGAAACCAATCAAATAACTAACCGCGTGCCTTTGATTTTGTCATGACATACTGTTAACATACTTATTTACTAGTGCACTCAAGTTTTAGCACTTTATCAAATTTTAACAGATTAGTGCAATGATGAATTGGCGCGACCAAAAATATGCAATAAAGAACAATATATACGAACTTCCATTAATGCATTCATCATTTAGCACAAAATTTAAAGCAGGATAAGCACTAAAATAAGACTGCCGATAAAATATATGTGCTTACTGTTACAATATTTCAGGGGTGCAGAGACAGTTAGTAAACCTACCTGGTGGAATTTCCAAAATGCCATGGGTGCTGTAGTAAACATAGATATACCTGTATATACATCCCTTTTAAATCTATTGTATTGCAGTTGTTGGTGTTATTTGGCTGTCCACATTTGAGTTTCTGACAGCCTATATCCCTGACAGTGCTGAGCCAAGTGACCAGCCTGACATTGTCCTTATCAGAGGATCTGTAAGCATCACAGTCATATTTATCACTTGAAATTATTTGTAGAAGCAAATTACTTTTAAAAGTATAAACTCATGAAATTAAACAAAAAACATGTAGAACACTTTTTTTATCCTATTGATTATCCTTGTAGAATTTTCTGTCAAATATATTACGTGCCTGCCTTGTAACTTGCAGAAAGACGGGCCCATCCGCTACCAGAATTTTGAGGACCCTTGCTTTGGAAATGGGGAAGAGCGAGAGAGGAGGCTTTTGTTTCAAGTTCTATCAAAATGGTGAGTGTGAAATTTGTTAGATATACTGTTTATAGCTATATTAGTGGATCTTAGATCTGTAAAACACGCAAGAAAGGAAATTAGATTTCATGCCCCCATCCACAGAGGAAATTAAGTATAGTGTACTTGCCTTTTCCTTCAGGTCAATCTGTCAGTCTGTACATCCGTCTATACAACATCTTAGTTAGACATTGGGCTTGACTCCATTCCTCTGATAAACCTAATCCCACTTTTATCAAGTGTTCATCAGTCGAATATGCTCAAGCTACCTCTCTTGTTTAGTGACCATCTTCCTTATGCGACCATTTTGATATCCTCCCGACACATTTCTTTATAATTTAACTGTAATTAGCGACCATCTTCCTTATGCAATGAACATTTTTCTATCCTAAAGAGAAGATACTCTCAATTCATTGACCATATTTACAACGACTGGAAACCAAGCCTAGTGGAGGTGCAGTAAATTTACGAAATCCTATCAAAGTTATCTCCCCTTAACTGAGAATGTGCTGTGGTTCAGTGTGTTTCTTCATAAAGTCTGCAATATGGATCCTTATTAAAAAAATACTTGCTCAAAAAGTGAGTTGCTGTCACTGTAAACAAAAGCTTTGAATCCCTGATTCTGCGCCAGTACAATAGGAAGATGGTGAGCATGAAAGCTCTGACATTGGAGGAGAGAATCATAGTACTTTGAATTCTTTGTTGGTCTGTTCCTGTTGAATGAAACAATCAGTAATCATGTATTACTGTGGTAAGCTTTGAAGTACACACAAACGCTTAAAAGTGTTGGAATGTTTTTGCCAACTGATCAATGAACTACATCATTTCAAGTTTTAAGGATGATCATGAATAAACTGGGTGTTTTTGTTCCAGGGACATGCTACTTGCCTGTTCAAGTAATGCTTGTGAAATATCTGTTATTGGGAAACACCAGAGTGAAAAAGTGAGTATAAGTCATCTCTACAGTTACCAATGTATGATCACATTGCCTACGTATTTATATCAGCTGAGAATGTCAGGGCCCAAATTCTGATAAATACTATGACATGATTTTAATGTTGGATAACACTGACCCTCCCCAGCTGTTCTAGTCAATTGAAAAACATGCACAATATTTACACCTATTTGTATTAAATGCTGAATTATGATTAGTAATTTTTTTTATTCTTTTTATTAGATTAAAATGTTAAAAAATTGGTTTATATATCAGTGTTAAATTGTTCTCACTAGTTCATATAAATGCCAACTTGTATTTATCTAGAACTGACTAACGAAATGTGAAGCACTAGCACGTTTTATGGTAATTGTAATTTTCAGTTGGCATTCATGTTGCCAGTGAACATCAACTGAAAGCAGATCAAAGCCTAAAGAGCGAGAATCTATTTATAGACCATACACGAAATTCCTCTATACAACTCCACAAACCTGAAGCCTAGCATTTAGAAACTTTCAATGTGCAGTATATAGGTCAATGTACAGTGTATAGGTCAATGTACAGTGTATAGGTCAATGTACAGTGTTTAGGTCAATGTACAGTGTTTAGGTCTATGTGCATTGTATAGGTCAATGGACAGTGGATAGGTCAGGTTTGCAGATTTCTTTTTCAAAATTGCCTTTATTCTTGTACACCATTGGCAGAGGTTTTTTGAACCTGGTTAGTATGGTAACCTGTGCAATATTTTTGTTAAATTTTGTCCAAGGTGTCAGAATTCTGTACAAACTAGTCTTCATCCCTGCTCACTTTATTATTCATTTCTGTATATGTTGGAACTTTGTGTTCCAAATTGATCCCAGTGAGATATGCTTTTCAGAGGTTTCTTTGTATTAAATTATGAATATTCCTATTAAAATCATGCAAAAATATTGAGTGACTTCTTACCATAAAAATGATTTAAAGAGAAAATTGAGATTTGCTGCTAGACTTGCGAGTTTGTAATGATTGATACTGTTTTGTCACCAGGGTGACTGGGAACGTTGGAACCTTGATGATTCAGCTCGGGCCGAGCTTCCTTTGACAGACAACCATTTTGACACTTTCCCAATGGGTGTTGCGATTGACTACTCCTCTCAGCATCCTATACTACTAGGTCAGTGGGCTGTTATTTGTTTCCATGACAATGATGAAGCAATTAAGATATTTGCTGTCAAGATATCAATTAAGTAACCTATTCTTTGAATGCAAGTTAAAAGCAGTGGAAATCTTTGTGTTTCTATATTTTGTCAACGATAAAATATCTCGACATAGAATGCCATATCCTGGTGAATATTGCTATTTTATTTTTGTCACCACTGGAAATGAAGGAAGATCCATAAGTAGTGTCCTCTAGCTGCTTGTAATAAAATGTTTAGACTGTTAAACTGGTACTTACCTCATGATACCAAGAACATATTTACATCACCCAAAGAAGTTACAAGGTGCATGTATATAAAGTAATAAGGTCACTATGTCATCTCAAGGTCAAAGGTCAATAAAAAATCACCAAAACCTTGTCTGGGCCTTATAAATATGCAACATCCTGTAAAAAAACCGGTAAAATTTAACTAGTTCTTCATTGCATTATCTGGTTGGTTTACATATCATGTTTCCATCACCACAATTTTTGAGAAGTTCCCCTAGTCAAATGAAACAATAAAATGTGGCCTGTGTGGAGATGTTAGCTTCTCAGTTAAGTATAACATGCAGTGTCTTACATAAAGTAATGAGCTTCTTCTTGCTTCTACTGTAATTAGGTGAGGGAAGTCACCCTCCGTCCCCCATCCTTCTCCTACTGTCCACAGACGGGGTACTAGTACCATACTACATGATGAACACCTACAGTGGGGCAGCCATCCTTACAGAGCCTCCCAAACCACTCACCACGGCCGGGATGAGACAACCCAGAGGTGAGGAACAATTTGAATCAAAGACACATATAAATTTGTATCTACTGCTGTAGAGATTTAAGTTCATATTAACAGCAATCTTTTTTTTTTTTTTTTTTAAAGTATAAGTAATGATGGTGGCAATAGTAACAAAGATTTAGACAGCGTGTGAGTATTTGTGTAAAATTAAATGCAGATTTTCGTCACATTTGTCTTTTAAATGAAAATACACTAAATGAAGTTTGGAGCACTTTAAAGGCTTGGATGATCTTAAAATAACAATGTATAATGGTTTCACTCAGTTTGATGTATTTTTAACTTACAGTTATTTTTGTATGACAGGAGAGTTAGAGACTGATGCTGCTAGAGCTCCTATCAGTTCTAATACTGGCAGTGGAGCTACCACTGGACTGGCCAGTACTGGCACTGGGCTATCTACAGGAGTAGCCACAGGGCTAACTACAGGGCCAAGCTTCCAGTTTGTGAACCCAAATGCGACAGCTACCACTAAGGCTGCTGTTTCATCCTTTGGAATTCCCAAAACCACAGCCCCATCACTTTTTGGCAGTGGCCCCCCAGCCTCATTTGGACCTGGTACGTCTTTTGGAGGATTAACCACAACAAAAGCTACTCCGGCAAGCACAAATACAACATCCACAGTGGCTTCTGCAGCTCCATTCAGTTTTTCACAAGGCACCCCAACATCAACATCTAAGGCTGCTACCTTCAGCTTCAGTGAGTCCCTGTCCAAGAACGATGCGTCTTCAGGGTTCAACTTTGGGGGTAGCTCTACCCCAAGTGGAGGGTCTTCAGCTTTCAGTTTTAAGACATCATCTTCCAGTGGCGCCACATCAGTGTTTGGTGTACCTAGTACAACTAGTGATAACAAATCAAACGGCATATTTGGAGCAGCACCAAGCACTGCTGGTACTACCCCCACTGCTCCTGCCCCGACATCCACTTTTGGATTTAGTGTTAATTCAACAAAACCGACAGTCAGTTTTACTACATCAAGCGTGTCATCACCCTCAGCTTCCAAGACTAGTGGGTCAAGCTTTGCCAATGTTGCACCCGGTACTCAAGGTCCTGTGATCCCCCCAGGTGTACAGTTGTCAGGAGGAACACGCCCTGAGAGACCAGAACAGACTCGTCCACCTGCAGCACAAGCATTCCCCGGGATAGGACAGACTCAGCATGCACAACCCCAACAGCAACATGCATTTAAAGGCTTTGTAACATCGGCTCAGAGCTCAACACCAACTGTAACACCTCAGTCAGCCTTAGGGTTTAAAGGGTTCATCAACCCTCAAATGTCACAGCCCACCACCCCAACACGTAAGAGCTCAGTTTCTGTATGTCTTTACTCTAGAGCATCAGACATCTGTTGGCTATCTGTTTGGTTAAAGCTGGTTACAGAGTGCACAAACATATGACACGTTGATATTGTTACAAAGTAAATCATTATATAAATAACATGTATAGTTAAAAAGTAGGGTGAGCATGTATATATCATTACAGGTAAGATGTGCACACTAAAAAGTCAAAAATAAACAGCAGCTTATTTCCCTAGTATATAGTCAAGGTATCTTAGCTTGTAGGCTTATTTTCATACATTTGAAAATGTTAATCATCAAGGAGTTATTTTCACAGAACCCTGAGATAGCATACCATAACGTGTTTGATCACTTACATAAATACCCGGTACATTATTATTATATGCCGCTAAACGTCATTCTATAAAACCTGTTACTGGTTGATATCATCAGTTAAACAAAGGGAATCTTTTGATTGGTTCTTTATGTACAAAAAGCACCAATCCCAGCTGTTTTAACATTGAGCAGAGGTGTAGGGCTTCATTAGGTTGTTTACTGTACACATCAGAAAGAGGTATAAGGGGGATGTGTTGAGTGTACTTTTTACATTGGACCACTAGGCTATGAGAATTTCAAAACTTCTTAATAAAGACTCTTTCTGGTTTTCCAGACAAAACATCAGGCTTTATACAAATTATATCATGAAATTTCATTCAGATATGCTCAGAATATATATTTGAAGAGGAAAATAAGCATCCCGTGCACATAGTGCTTGACATTTTACAAGTGATCTGTGTGATTTGTATTATTTTATATATCGTTTAAAATGTAACAGAGGTGTTGATAGGCACCTAATAATGTCTTCAAATGCCTGGTACATGGAATAAAAACTAGTGATTTATTACTTTAGTAAATGGGTTTTCTGGATTTCTTAAATTAATGACAGCTTATTTAGCTATTGTGGTTTAGTTTTAGAGATACAATCTTATTTTCAAGGTTTTAGGATATGTAATTGAATATATTTCAAATTATTCTGTGTTTTCTTCCCCAACAGACACAAAGTTTTTACTTTCATTTTAACTTGCAGCTATGCCAAACCTGACTGGACAGGCAGCAGGTGTGGGCCAGCCTGCATCATCTCAGTTTAAAGGTAAGGCTCCAGCTGTTTCTGTTTCTAAGGCACCTGTTCCGACAGCTTCAGTACCATTCACACCTCCTTCCGGTAATCGTCTACCAACTGCCCCTGTCCAGCCAATTGGAAGAGTTCAAGAGAGCAGACTAGGTACTGTAATACTTTTACTATGTTTCAGAAACAGATAAAATTAATTCTCTAACTGATGTGAAGATAACAAAATGTATCGAAAACTTATCCTCCACCTTTATATAGTTAATTATCATCTGCATTGGAACTATATTGAAATCAAATGATTGCAAAATGAAGATGAACAAAATTAAACATTTTCTCAGTCATGCTTATTATATATAAATTATAATACTCAGTACTCTGTCATGTCATTCCCAGCCCCTGTACAAGCAGTTGAGACCCCCAGATCAGGTGATTCAGAAGACACTTTCACAAAGGGCATCATGGAGGAGGTATGTTTGATAATAGTTATATATTGACAATAATTTGATGTATTTGAATGCATAACTCCTGGTGTTCTTTGGATAAAAACTAGGTGATCTAAAACGATGACCAAAGAAGAAAAGCAAAACTGGACACTAGTGGTTATTATAAACAAAAGAAGATTACTTTCAGATGTCATGATTCATAGATGGTAGATATACAGATAGTAAATATAGACATATGGTAGTTGTAGCTAGATAGTAGTTATAGAAAGGTAATAGTCATAGACAGGTGGTAGTTATAGATTGGTGGTAGATAAAGACAGGTAATTATAAATAAGTGTTAGTTATGGATGGGTGGTATTTATAGGTAGTAGTTATAGACAGGAGGTAGTCATGGATGGGCGGTAGTTATGGATGGATGGGTGGTAGTTATAGACAGGTGGTAGTTATGGATGGGTGGTAGTTATAGACAGGTGGTAGTTATAGACAGGAGGTAGTCATGGATGGGCGGTAGTTATGGATGGATGGGTGGTAGTTATAGCCAGGTGGTAGATAAAGACAGGTGATAGTTATAGATAAGTGCTAGTTATAGATGGGTGGTATTTATAGGTAGTAGTTATAGACCGGTGGTAGTTATGGATGGGTGGTAGTTATGGATGGATGGGTGGTAGTTATAGACAGGTGGTAGTTATGGATGGGTGGTAGTTATAGACAGGTGGTAGATAAAGACAGGTGCTAGTTATAGACAAGTGATAGTGGCATCCATCATCCGTTTGTCTGTCAACAATTTCTCCAGTGGACTGGCCCAATCCTAAGATCTCATTTGCCATACTGCTTTCATTAAGAATCTTAAATATGCAGGTGAGCGATTGACTACTGATATATTTTATTGACCACTCAGTTGGCTCACTTTGAGGAGGAGATGTCAGAGTTTCGGGCCCAAACCTGTAATGGCGGAGTCCTGGTGGGCAGTCGATCGGAGATGCACCAGCTTAGAGGAAAGGTGGAAGAGTTAACCAACTTTTCATCAGAGATCATAACAACAACGAAGGTAAATTCACCGTCAATCTAGGCCTCACAAAGGCCTAGAGTTTAGTTAGCAGTTTTATTCATAGGAGTCATTAGTTCGTTTTACTAAGTGATTAGTCCCAGTGAAACTATAGGTTAGCACCCTGTTTGTCAGTCGGTCCATATTTACCATAATTATTGAATTTGAATGAAAACTTGGGGATAGAGGTATCAGACAGTGTCACTTTCCACTCTCATTCTGTACATCAAGAGGGCTGTAGTGAGTGAGTGGTTAAGGCGTCTGACTGTCTACAATCACGAGCCCTCCACCACTGGGTCATGGGTTCAAGTTGTAAAAACATGTTTAATAATTGTTGTAAATATATAAAGTTTTTTTCTTAACTATTTTTTTGTCAATTGATTGTACTTTTGAAATTTGCTTGATAAAGAAACAATTGATGTGGTAGTATTAAACCTGCTTTTGTTACTTTTCTAAGGACCAGACTAAGGAGGTTGATGAGCAGAAGTCACTGTGTCTGGATTTATTTGCCATGGTGGAGGAGTGCCGTTTACGAGAGAGTCGGAATACTGACAACAAGTACATGCATCTATTAAAAGCACGGGCCTTGGACCCTGCCAGTCTGGACCACCTCCGGCAGCTACAGCAGCAGTACCAGGTGCTTGACCAGGGCCTCAGAGACGTGGACGCCATCTTAGATCAACAGTGGAAAGAACATCAGAATAGGGACAGAAACAGAAACAAGTATGACCCGATATATATAATGTGCAGATTTAAATTATTGGTTTCAAATGTTAGCCATATATTTTTGTGGATAAGGTACCAAGACCTTACAGATTACATGTCTTACGGTTATTTTCATAAGTTTTTGACTTATTGATGTTTTACTGCTTACCCACATTGCTGACAGTATAAATAAAATATCATAAATGTAATTAGTCTTGAGATCTTGAGTCTGCACATAGCTTTCTGGGTTTGTCATGTGTTTCATTGTCATTTCAATTCTCTTTGTCAGGATCAAGGCGCCGACAACAGATGTGATGTATCGCGTCCTGAAGAGTAACAGCTCTCTGATACGCAACCAAAAGTCTAACCTCAACAACTTGGAAAAGAAATTGAAGGAGCTTAAACTCTACAATAAAACTTCAGCATGGCAACACTCCAATTCTTCAAATAATGAATCAAGGTATGTAATGAAATTTTAAATTAGTAAATCTGTTTGATTTATGAACATAAGGTTGGATACTGGTAAAACACATACAATATGAAATCAGTACAGGCATTTATAGAGTGTTTATGTATAATTTGCCAAAGCCTATTGTGGTTAAGTAAATTCTATTTATTGAAATTCATTTGAGGTATATACAATGAATCTTAACTTTGGAATACAATCAAATCCCCTATCATGACTACAGGTTCATCCTTGCTGTACCAAGCAACCTTACATGTAAGGTGATCCAGATTCTACAGGTTTCACCTGGATTTTGTAAACTTGACCAGCATACATGTTATTACTCTACACTTAGTGTGTAGTCACTGTAGTGTGTATTTGGTTAGCTTCTGCCATGGTGATTCTTCCGTTGTCATCTGTCCTCTGTCAACATTTGCATTAGCAACATCGACTCTTGAGCAGAATTTTACCACAATCTGATGACAGCATCATCAACCCATGGGGTTCAATGTTATATACAAAAAGGGGCTCGCCCAACTGGAATCTAATCAGTGTTGGTATCAAAAGCTATTAAATTAGCAGGTTTGCTTAAAATGACCTCTCCCCAACTTACTGTGCAGATTTCTTTGAAACCGAGTAATCCTTAGCTCATGTTGATCTTGAGTCAATTTGATTGATTTGCTATAAACTTCGTTTCATTAAGAGATTTCAAAGAGTTTATAGTTGTAGCATCCTTAGCCCATTAAGATAAAAAATTACTAGTATACAAATACAGTCAAACTTTGGTGATTCTCACTTTGCTGGACCATCAGGAAATATTGGAAACATTGAGACTTTTTGGCCCCACCCCTAAGCCCGGGGGGTCAGCCCCAACATTTGTACAATTTTGAATCCCTGCCTTCCATGAATGCTTCCGACCAAATATGATTAGTATCCATGGCATAGTTCTACAAAAGTAGTCGTTTATAGCAATATAGCCGAATTGCCCCCTTTTGGCCCCGCGCCCCCCCCCCCAAAATATGATTGTTAATTGATGGAATGCATTTAATTTGAAATCTATATATACAAAATTATGTTTCATGTATATATACACTAGTATAGTTAGCAAGCAAGTTTAGGTGTTAAAATGACCCAGGTATATTTGGATATTCAAACAGGTACTGGTAATTGTTTTACCTCAATTTATTTGTTGTCATTAGTTGCAATTCAATTTGACACATCAAGTTTTGAATATTTGAAGTTTGATTTATGGCAGTTTGACTGTATGGGGGGTGACCCTCCTTAAGAGCTGAAAGAAGAAATAAGAGATTACATCAAACTGACCAGCATTTTCCTTATACAATGCTGGTCATGGCACATTACAATTTTCTTAGGTTGACAGATATGAGTAAAACCATTTGTTTTTCAAATATTTGAGAAATGAAGAAAACAAATTTTTGTTACCAGGGGTAAGTGGAAGTAATTTCAAATATTATATATGTTTCATAAACCTTAAAAACATTCTCCTATCTTCTTTCTTAACAGAGATTTAGAGTTGTCTACCCTGGCAGATAGTCTGTTGGATGTGGATGATACTCCAAAGCCTAGCCTCTCCTCCACACAGATCAGCAATAAAGCTCCAAGTCCGGAGAAACAAGCACGCCTTCGTGACCACCTAGCTAGACGTGCAGTACCCAGAATTAAGTCCACCAGGCCAGGTAGGAACAAAAGTAGAAAATATCTACAATGCATCATAGCATTTTCTATGAACTCAATGTAATTGCATACTGTATCAGAATTATATTTGAGATTTTAGTTATAAGAGAGAGTTGACATGTATGACATGATATTACAATTTAATAACATTAGAATTATGTTCGGAAACTTTGGAATTTTTCTGATTCATAGGTGAAACCAAAACCTTACATGTGGCAAAGTTTTTGGAAAATGGTATGTTAATTTGTTGCTTCCAGAGAATTTGTCAATGTCCCGTATAGCTGCTGTAGACCGACGGAGGTATGACCCAGAAGAGACTGTTGTGGCTCATGCACCGGAGCAAAACTTCCAAAAACATATAGGTATGTGTGTAGCCATTAACAGGGGCTGCTGTTGCATATACTGGTTGGAATGATCCAGGTGTCATGAAATTATTCTGTAGATACATAAACAAGCTTTTGGGCTGGAAGAGAGCAGACGTTAACATGTGTGAATCAACCTGATATCGATTCAGCATTGAAACAGTTGAAACAGCTGTGGACAGAGATTTACTCATTTTGAGAAGAAGTAGGAGATTAAAAGATATCTTCCTTTTAGATCAGACAGACGCAAATTTCAATGGAAATGTTCCGATATAGTAATTAGTTTAAATTTTACATGTTTTGTTTGGAATTATACAGCAACATGCTTTTCCCGTTCAAAGTTATTCACCTCGTGTGACTTTCTTTATGAAATTTTGACCTTAGAATAAAGGTTGTCATGGTGTTTCAGCTGAGAGAGGGTCCAAACATTATGGCACTTCGTTCAGACAACCAACCGGAAATAAAATGTCTTCTGGTGGCATGAATACAGCGGGAAACGTTGGTGGTCAGATGTTTATGCCAAGTGGTCAGATGTCAGCCCTGTCCACCATACAAGGCAAACTTCCCATGACTATAACTGGACAGTCTGGAACAAGGGATGTGAGCAGGCATAATATGGTAATTATGCTCTATTGTCAAAACAGGTTAACAGTGTTACTAAGTCAAAATGTGGTAAAGTAATGTTTTATAGACAAAACATGGTAAAAAATGTACCTTTTCCAGTCAAATTATGGAAACAATTCCTTCTTATGTGCATGATTATAAATTAAAGATTTTATATGAAATACCCTAAGGCCTTGTAGCTTAAATACTCTTAATAATCTTTTGTTGTCAAAATATGATCGATAATGTTCTGTAAAGCAGTCAAAACATGGTTACAAAGTGATAGATTTCTTTTTATCAAAATATGATAAATAATTTTCCTGAGGTCTACATTCAGAAAAATATGCCTCCCAACTGAACTATGTTTCCCCTAAACAATAAGTGCAACAACTAAAACATTGAATAACTAACCCATCCACATACACACAACTGGATTAACTTGCATTATTGACTATTTACTTTGACATTTTTTACTATCTTAATGGTGTTTATTTGTAGCCCCCTTTGAGTGGTAACAACAACCTTCCATCCAAGTACACATTCAGTGCTCCTTCAGCTGTCCCAGGTATGTATAACTCAACCATATTTGTGATGTAACAACACTTTTCATTGGTTAATAATATTGTGTTATTAGCTGACCACCAGGTCCGAAGGACCAAGGTGAGCTTATGCCATACTGTGGCGTCCGTCGTCTTTACGTCAACAATTTCTTCAAACGACTTCTACTTCTTCTTAACCACTGATTGGAATTTAAATAAATTTGACTGGAAACATCCCTAGGTAGTGGAGATTCAAAATTGTACAAATGGTGGGTCAGACCCCCAAGGGGGCTGAGGGTCGAGGCCAAAAGGGGGCAATTCGGCTATATTGCTATAAACGACTTCTTCTGTACAATTATGCCATTGATACCAATCATATTTGGTCGAAAGCATTCATAGGAGGCAGGGATTCAAAAATGCACAAATGGTGGGGCTGACCCGCTGAGCTAAGGGGTGGGGCCAAAAAAAATATATTACTTGGAAATGGTTGAGATCCCCACCATATAACCATACAATTGCTGAGTATAAAGAGAAGAATGCACATTTGCTTCCAGGATGGCCCTATTAAACCATTATCAATATTATCTAAAATAATCGCTGGTCAAGTGGCGCAGTGGATTGCACACTTGCCTTTCACCAAGGCGGCCGGGGTTCTATTCCCTGATTGGACGTAAAAGGTATGGGGTCAATCGCCCGACCACGTGGGATTCTCCGGGTACTCTGGTTTCCTTCCACATGAAGATCCCCCAGGCGCTAACAGTCAGGACAACAAGAGTGATTAATATAAGTTGAACTAACTTGTTTCATAATGGTTGTTACATAAATGAAGTTTAAATTCATATTTACATTTGATATGATTTGTTTGATAATTGTTGTAAAATGATTAAAGTTGATTTATATTATGATCTGAAATTCACTGATTTTACCTTAAAAACATGGATTATAGAATATTTCATTTAATATTACTAAAGAAATATTTTTTTCATTAAAAATCTTCCTGTAAGAGATTATAAGACAGAAGGTTGTAGTATAATTGTCTTGCTGCCACAAAGTAGTGGAAGCAGACTAAGGTGGTGCTTTTCTGGCGACAGCGGCGTTAACATTAAGTTTTTGCGTTTAAGTTAGTTTCACTGAAAGCCTAAGTGCTAGACCAACCAAACTTGGACCACAGATGCATCTTAGGTAGTACATCTCAACCCATGCATTGAATGATGGATGTGGCCTACCTTTTATGGTCCATTGACTTTGTCAGCATCTCCATCAACATTAAGTTTTTGCGTTTAAGTTAGTTTATCTGATATGTACATTGATGGTCAAAGCAGGGCACAGGCAAGACATATCAATCTTAATGGCTTGTTTAGTTTGTGTTGCCTTTTACTAAAGTCGTACAAAGGACCACTTGTCTATGTTAAAGGGGGACTGAAGAACCTAGGCCACATAGTTGTGGAAGACATAACACCACCCTCATCCACAGGATATGAAGAAGAAGATGAGGAAGACGATGAAGAGGATGAAGAGGATGACACATATGATGATGACGATGATGATGATTATGAGGAAGAGGAAGATGAGAATGGTATTGGATTTGGATCCCAATATACCATGACAGAACAAGCCAATGAGAACATTCTTGTTAAAGGTGAATATTTAAACAGCGGTAATATCAGATAACCTATGTAACATTTTGGAACAGAGGAGACAATATTACTTCTTTGAAAGTCTGGAGGTTTCTATACTTTAGCTTGAAAGAGGAATATTTCTTTTGGTTTGGGGTTATTACATGCAGGTGACAAGTAAAGGTCAAGGATGCTATAAATAGACTAACATCAGGAATCTGAACAAATGTTATTTTTCAGCACTATAGTTGGTCACATGCTCCCAACCAGGGGCTTATTCAGGAAACATATTTTGGTTACACAGTGTTGACTTTGGCTGTGCTTGGTAGGGCAAACATTTGACCTATGGTTTTAGTAGAGAGATGATAGATAATGAATAATGTTGAACACATGCAAGAAGAAACTTGGAAAAGAACAAATAAATCAAAAGTCTTAAACTATAATTAGGGCCCCGTATCGGAGATACGGGTGCCCTATAGTAATCACTCTAGTAGTCAGTCTGTCTGTCCACAAATTTTGTTTCTGGCTGATAACTTTGGTATTTATTGACCGATGTACATGAAACTTGGTCAATATGTTCAGTTCACAAAAATACACATTGAGGTAAAAGTCAAGGTCAAAGGTTAAGGTCATTAGGTTCAAAGGTCAAGGTCAAATTTTACATCTTTTCACTGATGAACATTTTATTATGACATTATGAAGCAAAGTTGGTCGGAATTAAAGAATAAATCAACTGTTAGCCCAGCAAATATGGAGGTGGAAGGAAGCAAGTCTCACATCATAGTACTGTAAAATGTATATTTTGCTTCCTTGCGCTTTTTTTTAAAAGTCTAAATGTCAAACGTCAAGCTCAGCTATATGGGCAGATTGCTTCTTGATGATTATGTGGGATATATTGCCACAAGGCGGGGCCCTTACTGACCTGTCAGTGTTCTAGTTGAATTAAGATGCCTTTTTTATTTTCCAGGCCATAGCACTTCACTGCCTAAGGCTGTTGGATTTAATATTGCTCAGACATCTGGAAATGTAAACAAAAACTTGTTTGGATCTGCTGTCACCAATAAATCTGTGTCAGGTACTGTAGCTACTACAGTGAGTCCAATGGTGGCAACATTTGGTGGAAAACCAGGAGAATTCAGCTTCAGCAGTGGAACACAGTCCCAGACCTCCTTCACCTTTGGTGGCAATGCTGGTGGGTCTGCATTTGCATTTGGTGGAACCTCTAAACCAGAAACTGGAGTTAAAACACCAGGTGTAGCATCAGCCAGTACCACCAAGTCTGACCAATCAGCTTTCTCCGTGTCTGCCACAAAACGTCCAGCAGTAGCTAAGGACACGGGTTTCAACTTCGGAGGGCAAATGGCTAAAAACACAGACAGGCCAAGTGAGGAAGTATCAACTATCAGTCCCCTGTTATTGGAAGGTAGGTATCAAAACATGCAGGCCACACCTGTATAACCAGGTGAGCCACAGCCTCTTTGATATTTGATATTTTTAACCCCCCTACCCCCTCCACTTAGCAGAAGGGTATATAATAATCGCTTGAACAGTGCATGCATGTATGTGTGTATCCATCCTCCATCCTTACTGAGAAGCTAGTGTACAAGACAACTCACAAGTCCTTCCAAAAGAAATCATAGGTTGGTTTAAGTTCAAACCTAATACAATTTTGGTGATAACGGTAAAAGTTTAAGGGGTCAAAGGTTACACTTTACAACATTTGAAGTAAAAAGGTTCTATAGCAGATATCTCCTGAACTTATCCACAGATTAGTTTATATGGTACAGTATGGTCACATTAATTTCTTTCCTCTGGTAAGATTATTGTGGTCAAGATTAAAGAGTCACACCTGTCCACTAATCATGTGGGAGGGATTCTCTTTTGTTTTAATTTCTTGCCTTTATTTAAAGGAAAAGGGATCATTATCAATAGTGGTTTTGAAATAGTTACATTTAACATTCTTTAACATTGTTTGAATGCTTTGTCAGCCCTGTCTGAGGAGGAAGTTCCCAGAGTACCAACGAGTGGTACAGCAGCTGCAGGGTTTTCATTCACTAATCCTGTACCACAATCAAAACCTGATGTCTCGGCCGCAGGAACTCTCAAACAAGGTCAGTTATAGTTCAAGGTTTGATACACTATAATTTGCAGATTTCTAGAATGGTAATTGGAACAAATCTTTCAAATATCAGTTGTCCAAAATGAACAAATGAAAATCAGGTTTCTTATGTTCATTCTTAACAAAAATACTCAACATAAACAGCTTATGGTATAAATTCCCTGTATATTAAAAGAACTAAAAAATCAACATTCTTTTTTCTTTTGATAGAATTAGGAAGCAGCCAAGAGCCCAAGAAAGTATTTGGACAATCAACATCAATTGGAGGCAGTTTGTTCAGAGTCCAAACCTCTGTTGCCTTGAAAGCTGGTGGCAGCAGTGCTGCATCCACAGCCAATACAGCAGCCATTCTGTCTACACCTGCCTCCACCGTGTCATCTTCTTTCCCAGGTTTTAGTGTGAGTTCCTCTACTCCTGTGTTTGGACAAACAAGCTCAGCTGTGCCCAGCGTAACTACCACAGCTACAGGTAATGGCTTGTTTGTAAAACCAGCAGTAACAGCACCTACAACGCTTATACCAGGAGGTAGCATTGTGTCGGGAAATTCTGCATCAGCGGGTGTATCTCAGATTTCTTCCTCAACTTCCACTCCTACTACAAGTGCAACCACTGGACTGTTTGGAAAAACAGAAGCTGGGGTAGAGGTAACCAGTCCAGAGCCTGATACTCAATCACCAGGAGATGTGTCTGGTCAGTCAGAAACATCAGTTAGTGCTTTTGGTCAGCCAACTCAAGCGACCACTGGGCTGTTTGGTAAACCAACCACAACCAGTACAGGGGGCTTGTTTGGAACGGCTACCTCAACCAGTACAGGGGGCTTGTTTGGAACAGCTACCACCTCCACCGCCAGTACAGGGGGTTTGTTTGGAACAGCCACCTCCACCACCAGTACAGGGGGCTTGTTCGGAACAGCTGCCACCTCCAGCACCAATGCAGGAAGTTTGTTTGGAACAGCTCCTTCCACCACCAGTACTGACACCATATTTGGAACAACTGCCTCCACTACAAAACCTGGAGGCATGTTTGAAACACCCAGTTCAACTACAAGTACAGGGAGCATATTTGGGGTGACCACTGCAAACTCAGCTACACCTGCATTTGGTGCTTCATCCTCTGCTACTTCTACTACAACCTCTTTGTTTGGGGGGACATCTGCATCGACATCAGCTTCGTCAATATTTGGATCTGCACCTGCAGTGTCTCAATCAGCCCCCATATTTGGAAGCACTTCAGCTTCTAAGCCTTTATTTGGTAGCACACCTACTTCAACAACATCAGCCCCTTCCATGTTTGGGGGTACACCCATAAGTACAGCCTCCACTGGATTTGGAGGATTCACCAGTCCTAGCTTTGGTACGAGTGCGACGTTTCCACAGTCGAATCAAAGCAGGTAAAGCAAAAATCTGTACCAACAAAAAATGCTCTTAAGAGTTACTCCATCACTGTGTTATGTCCTGAATGTGGAACGTGTTGGTTTGCTGATATAATTCTATTAGTCTTGTGTATCCATTTCTAAGTAACATTGTTTCCCCAGGCTTGAGCTTATAAATATATAATTATTTATCTAATAGGTTTTGGATGTTGGAAGTCAAAGTCATGTAGTGAAAGTCTGCAAAAGTTTTGTCCATGTAATATTCTACAATTAGGCATAGAAATGTTAACCAATCCTACACCTCTGAGTTGGCTGTAGCAGCAAGGATATATACATGATACTCTAAAAGCATGATATTTTGTTGGGAATTTCATTTCGTTTATTTCGTAGTTTTATAAAAAAAAACCCACAAAATTTAATCCCAACAAAATTTTAAACACATGAAATATAAACTAAACAAAAACATTTCATAAACTATTAATTTTATTGCAAATTTTGAAATTCAGTTTTTATATCGTCAAACTACTGACAAGGTACATGTACGTTTACGTGAGTCTACAAAGTTTACATTATGTGTACATCACTCTTTGTATATAAGCTATAGAGCATGATGGATTTGACCGATACTCATTAAGTGAGTAAATCTCGCCTGAACTTACATGTACTAAATTTACCTGCACGGTGTCGTCACGCCTGTCAATTTAAACTTCTTACTTACTAAAGAAAATACAAGGGTTTAGAAAATTGATTCCACGAAATATAATCCCAACAAATTTATCCCCATACAAAAACAATGAAATTTATCCCTAACGAAAATTAATGCTTTCATGAAATGCTAGTGGTTATAATAAAAAATGCTGTAAACACTTCCTGCATCTGCACCTGGAAACAGAAATCACTTAGTAGCTTTATATCTTTATTACAGTACCTTGTTTGGTCAAGCAGCTACAACTCAAGCAGGATTTGGCCAATCACCAAGTCAGTCTCCCTTCAGCCAAACACAGTCCAGCTCTCAAAACCAGGCATCTGGAGATGGCGGCTTGTTCAGTGGACTCGGAGGGCAACCAAGTGCAGAAAAGGCCAACACCAATGTATTTGGTTCTCCCTCCAGTTTTGGATCATCTGACCAACCTGGTACAGGTACGTTGAAGTATACAGCAATGTTTGGTGTAGCACAGACTCTTTTACTTTAGACACAGCTTGAACTTACCAAGTGAAGTCTTTTGTGATCCTGAAATTCTCAAACTATTTTTTAAACCAAAAAACTTTATCAGTTTTCAGTTTTCGAAGTTATTGCATATCCATATGTTATTCATTTAATTAAATAAGCAGTGCCACACATGTTTTGTCACAATTAGATTTGAAATAAAATTGCAAATATTAAACTTTCTAAATCAGATGAACTGTCATATGCGAAAAATGTTCAGCATTACAGAGTCAGGCTTAGTGTTTGAGATAGTAGATTGAATTATGAAAGATTGGTAAAACGTTTGTTCTGTATGATGTTCCACAGCGTCACTATTTGGCAACCAGACGAGTACAGGATTTGGTACAACTGGATCAGGACCAAACTCGCCTTCTGGTGGGGCCTTCTCGGGGGGATTTGCCATGGGAGGTACAGGGGTAGGATCTTCCGGCTTCGGGGTCAACCAGTCACAGGGGCAAGGTAATTCAGGATTGCTTTTTTTCTAGTTTGATGAAGTAATGATTACACGTGTAATGTTGTAGGGATTGAGAATTGAAAAAAAAAAGTATTGAAACGAAGGAAATATAGACGATAGATAAATAAATGATTATGAGGGATTGAAAACTGATGTATGACTGATTACAATTCTTCTGTACACCTCATGAGGCATGAGTGTGAGAAAGAAATAGGAAGTGAAGAAATTAAAACTTTCCGAATTTATTAGGTTTTGGGGCGGCACCATCATTTGGAGGCAGCGCTACATTTGGGAGCACACTCGGAGGGTTTGGTAGTCCACCAGGCTTTGGGAGTGGAGCAGCTTTTGGAAGTGCAGCCTCCTTTTCTAGTCCTGTGACCAGTGCTAGTACCAGCCCGGGAGGTACAGGATTTGCAGGGTAAATTTTTGTGTACAGTAAACCGCTCCATCGTGTTGCTGCCCATGACAGTTCGACACATTTTCTTAAAACCTACATTTGCTTTATACTATATACAATGTAGTTGTTTGATTTTGTGGGGCTAAAATTGTGTGCTAGGTACACTTAGTTTACAGGTTAATCAGGTAATCAAGTAATAATCTTATGAGTTACAGCAGGTTGTTTATCTTTCAATAAAAGTATGTAAACATCAAAATGATGGTGGTTTTAACTTAGTTGTTTTATAACAACCCTGGTAGAGAAGCATTTAAAATCAAACTGATAGGAAGACTGCCACAGCATGGAAAACAAGTTGAAATTTGGTTGATTGGGTGTTACAGCAGTAAATAGGTAATTAATCCACTGTGAATAGTTCCAGCTATACAGCAAGTCATCTCAGTGAAGATATTATAGATGGTTCCCTCTGATTAGCTGTAATATGTCAACAGTATCAAACATTATAGCTATTTTCCTGCATCAAAGAAGTTCTGAATTCGAAAGTTAGGTATCTAAATCAATCATCTGATAGAAAAGATTTTTTTTTATTATACATGTACCTCATCTTTATAACATGTCTGATTGGATGATACTTGTCACATGACAGGGTGTCATTAAACATGATTTCCCCTTCATACTCTCAAGTTTTCTCGATCACATTTCCCTTATTCTGGGCCTCTCTTAAAATAGTATTTATTGCCCTTATTTGCCCTAGTTAAACATGATTAACCTTGGTAAATCAGGGTTCCCTTCAGTAAGGGCAAGAAATGTATATATACTATCAATAAAAAGAAATACAAAATATGAATAATTTCAGATGTAATTTGGCTAATAGTAATTAATCTAAAGTTTATGTATCCTGGAACATTTATCAGCTGCTATGCTATTATGGATGAAGTTGGGACTGACCTACTGGTCAGATGTTGTTTTCTTGCAATCTTTATGGTGATGTTTTCATATACAAAGATAAACAGTAAGAAAGGTATACTGAACTTTCAAGTAAGCAATGAGATCAATGTACTTATGGTATTTTTTCATATTGTGTACAGATTTGCCAGTTCCAACAGCCCAACATTTGGGAGCCTTGCAGGCTCGTCAGATACACCAACCTTTGGCTCCATGGAGGGAGGTGGAGGAGGAGGAGTAGGAGTAGGGGGAGGAGGATTCAGTACTACACCAGGATTTGGAGGAGGGACTAGTGCTGGATTCGGATCTACATCTTCTCAAGGTCAGAGATATAGTCCTTGATATACTTTCAAAATAATTTGATATAGTGCAGGGTTTTTGAATCCACAGGTTTTCTTGATCAAGATTGTTAGCATATACATATGCATCAATCCTTTTTTGATGTTGATTACTAGCTTACCTTGTCAGAAGGACCAAAGCAGCATCTGTCATCCGTCTGTCAACTGTTTTTTATAACAACTTCTTCTAAACTGCTAATTAGGCCCCCGTATCAGAGATACGGGTGCCCTATAGTAATCACTCTGGCTGTCTGTCTGTCCGTCCGTACACAAATTTTGTTCCTGGCCGATAACTTCGGTAATTATTTCCCGATTTACATGAAACTTGGTCAAGATGTTCAGTTCACAAAAATACACACTGAGGTAAAATGTCAATGTCAAAGGTCAAGGTCATTAGGTTCAAAGGTCAAGGTCAACTTTTGCATCTTTTCACTGATGAACATTGTGTTATGACATGATGAAGCAAAGTTGATCAGAATTAAACAAGGAGTCAACTGACTCAAGGTCAGAGGTCAAGGTCAAATTTTGTAGCCTTTCACTAATGAGCATTTCAGAATTTAGCAACTGTCTTAATTTCAAGGTCAGATATTGTATCTTTTTACTGATGAACATTTTTTTATGGTATTATGAAGCAAAGTTCTTCAGAACTTAACACAGAGTCAGCTGACAAAAGGTCAAGGTTACGGGGTCCAAAGGTTCAAGGTCAAGGTCCAGTTTTGTATTTTTCACTAATGAACATCATGTTATGATATTATGAAGCAAAGTTGGTCCGAATCAAAGAATAAGTCAACTGACCAAAGATAAGGGTCACTGGGTTAAAGGTCAAGGTAATTTGGGGTCAAAGGTCAAAGACAAAGTGGAACACTGACTTTGACCCTGGCTCTTGATGGGGGAGGTATTTATGGTGAAATAAAACAAATCAAAGCTAACAAATGAGTATTGCACCGGTATTTACATTTCTGTTAGCCTAGCAAATATGGAGGTGGAAGGAAATAAGCCTCGCATCATAGTACATGTTAAATATTTTGCTTCCTTCGATTCTTTTTGAAGTCCAAATGTCAAACGTCAAGCTCAGCTATATGGGCAGATTGCTTCTTGATGATTGTGGGGGATTTATTGACGGGGCCCTTACTGACCTGTCAGTGTTCCAGTTTGAATTTGACTGACTGGAAGCATCCCTAGGTGGTGGGGATTCCAAATCATACAAGTCGAGGGGCTGACCCCCTGGGGTCAGGGCCAAAAAGGGGTAATTTTGCCATATTACTTTAAGTGACTTCCTTACTGAACCTAAGAGATGGATCAACCATAGAGCTCATTTGAGGTTAAATGTACAGCCGTTGAACATGCAGTTTGCCAAGAAAACTGCAGATGTAAATGATTATAAGTTGATGGATGAAGTGCCCTGTGTCATTACAAAGTTCTCTGGGTTTAATGTGAAAGTTGATGTCACGTGGATAACACAGCCGGACGTGACCACGAGGAACTGATTGCGAATCGGAGTCAGTACCGGTATTTAATATGACAATGTTATAAAAAAATATATTTAAATTTCAAATTAAAAATAATAATAATAATAATAATAGTACAAAGGTGCACCATTTTAATTTTTGTAATGTTTATTATCCAACTACATTAACCTCGGAGAAGGGGAGATTAATCTTCTCAGAAACGGTACTATATATGAAGTTGTCATTGTATGTAAAATCAGCTGACTGGTTGCACGAGATGTATTCATAGTGTATTCATGGTCTAATGGCAGTTGTTTTCAGTTGGTAGATTCATGTTTAGAACAAACATCAAGAGTGTAAATATATTGCTTTAAACAACCTCTTCTCTGGAACTCAGTGATGGATATCAACCATATTAGGTTTGGAGCATTCTTCAGTGGTTGAGGATTCAAAATTACACCAGCTGAAGGGCTGATTTCCAGGTCTGTGGGATGGGCCTAAAAGAATTTTTAAGTTCCCCACCCTATATAGAGACAAATAAAAAATTGCTTATAGGATGGCTCCAGGGTCTCGTCCCACCCTTGGAGAAAAATTCCCTTGGTCATAACTCTAAACATTAGAGATCCCCACCCCATAACCATTTATACAAATGCTGGGCATAAAGAGATCAACACAATCATGATTTAGAATAGACCTTGAGATCTGACCAGGGACTTATTTCTTGGGTTATAACTTTGAAATGGTTGAGATCCCCACCCCATAACCATAAACACCATTGCTGGATTTCAGGAGATGAACACAATCATGATATTAGTATTAACCTTGGGTGTGGTCCTACCCCTAGGGACTTAATTTCTGGATCGCAAGTTTAAAATGGTTGAGATTCCCTACCTATAACCATATATACCATTGCTTGCCAAAAGTTTCCGGGTAATTGATACAGGCCCTGAGGGCCTCTTGTATGTGTTATAGTTCTGTGTAAAATGATAAAAATACAATGATGTTGTTTTTGTTTGCAGGATTTGGAAATGCTGGAACCGGAAATAATTCATTTGGGTAAGGTGCCATAAATATTTACTATTTTGCATGACATTGCGACAATATTTTCTAATGTAATGTTGACATTACCTACACCTGACTTTGTCATTGTGTTCATGTGACATTATATATGTATGATATTCATGTCAACCATGGTATTCCGTCTTTTCGTATTGCAAAGTTATCTGCTCTTGTGAGCAGGTATTGATTATTACGTCATTTTTTTGTGAGAGGCACGTCATCAATTTTTGAGAAAACAACGTAATTTTCTCACACAAACCAATGACGTAACAATCAATACCTGCTCACAAGAGAAGATAACTCTGCAATACGCAAAGACGGAATATTGACATTAATGACATGGTATATTGACATTCATTGCATGTGATATTGATATAAATAAAATTTTGATTACAATGTGATATTGACATAACCTACTTGTGATATTGATGTTATTTACATGTTTTCTATTAGCTGATTTTGAACCCTAAAACTCTGATTGATATACCATTGCTGTAATTGATTGAGCTACTTGGTCATTGGAAGTATCATAGCACAATCATACTACAGTTGTATCCTAACGGAAGTTAAGGGGAGGTAACTGTATATAGGAAATAACACAGTGGGACAAGGGATCCATAATATTATTTCATTTGTATGGCTGCATTTCCAAACTGTTTATGCCCCTGTTAATCTATCTATTTGTTACCGCTCTACCTGTACCTAACAATGGCTAGATGTTTCATCACATTTCTATTATTGTAGGTTATCATTTTGTTTATCAGAAATTGTTCCGTGTATTGATGTCTTCCCTGATTTGCTTTTCATTCAGGTCCAATCCAGCTTTTTCGGGATATAGATAAGATCCACCTGTTGTATGTCACATCTGGACCAGGAACTCAAGTGTTCAATTTGCAGAGGAATTTAAATAGAAGAATTAGGACTTGAACAATGATAAGAAACTGTAGATGTCATATTGTTTACACCTATGGATTGTCAGTGACATGTAAAGAGTGGATTCCTCAGCTTGATGCTTGCAGATGTAATGTCCTGTTAATTTGTTATGACAATAATAAATATCCAGAAAATGGGATGGATTGTGTGATTTATTGTACCTCCTGTTACAAAGTTAGTGGAGGAGGTTAAACTAGAATCAACCTTTCTCTCTGTTCATCTGTATAACATCCTCGATACTCCATGACGTTTCGTCTGTATATCATCCTCGATACTCCAGGACGATTCTTCTGTATAACATCCTCGATACTCCAGGCCGTTTCATCTGTATATCATCCTCGATACTCCAGGACGATTAATCTGTATAACATCCTCGATACTCCAGGGCGATTCATCTGTATATCATCCTCGATACTCCAGGACGATTCTTCTGTATAACATCCTCGATACTCCAGGACGATTCATCTGTATAACATCCTCGATACTCCAGGACGATACTGGTTCAGGTTGTCTGTATGTCTACACGGTTTTGTCTGATCAACTATACCAAAATTGTTGCACCCACTTTAATGTAACATTGCTCCTGACAGATACATGTATCTTGCGTAATGTTGTTCTTTTGCATGGACAAATCAAGACCAGATTTCTTGCACTCAAACAATGATCCTTTTCTATAATAATGGCGTTGTTATTTTTACAAACTGATCGGCTCATACTGACATTTGATTTAATGATTGTGAATTTTCCTATTGACTGTAAAATAAACTACATGTATTTCATATGTTACTATACCCATTGTGTAGCCTATAGCAGAACTTCAAAACAAAGATGTCTGACATTTATACTTTATTACACGTACTGCTTTACTAAACCACACCGCTTATCATCAGTATAAAATATATACGCGCTAAAATATCGATTATGGCGTCATAATGTCTGATGACGTTGTACGCAGGTTTTATCTGTGTGTGCTGGGTTTGTTCTCGATAGTTAGAAATGGGCCAGGAATCAACATTATGTCATAGAAATCGTTAAAACTGAAAAAGAAAAGAAACGTTATTTGCGACTGTTTGTTTCTGTATTCAAATAGATTAAATTAATTGGAAATTGTTCTACATCCGGTGGATCCAAAATGGCGGCTTCCATGAACGGAATTTGTGCACGCGCGATTTCCCAAATTATTGATTTGACTTGCTAGGTCTATTGGATTTCATGGTAGATTTTGACTGGGTTTCTTTCACGTGTATTTGTACGTGTTATCTTAAAGCTCACACGAGAGCGTTCGCTATAAAGAATCTTTTTATATGTATTATGTGATTATTAAAATGTTCAAATTATTAAATATAACTATTTGTTGCTGCTCCCAAGATTTTCTATACCCTTGACATTTCTGATTATTTACAATTCTGAGGGTATTGCTTTTGGCTCTTAATAATAATAATCATTTGAAGTCCTTATATACCGCTTCAACACAACCTAGTTCGTAGGTCGTCTCAAAGCAGTTCACAAATCATTACCCGTGGTTATAGGGCCTTTGCAACCAGCCAATACCTTAACTCCCTGGGGAGCATACAGCCAGAGCTGCCATTTCGACGCTAACAGCTAGCATTCTACAATTCTAGCACTGCCCAACGACATTCATTTACAGCTGAGTAGACTGGAACAAGGGGAGTTAAGTATCTTGCTCAAAGATAAAACACAGTGCCGTGAAATGTACTCTTTTGATGTTATCGTCCTGTTGTTTGTCTAGACTATGCATAAATGACAACTATTGATTACACAATATTTAAGGTCGGAACAATTGATCTGCAAGTGCTATTCCATAATACAATATACATTTGAACTTGCTTACCCTGAAGCTTATCGGATCAAGGATATTTTTTATTGGAGTCCATAAAGTTATGTATTGAAAAAATAAGCCCGATGCACTTTGGAATAAAAAAGCGAATTTGTTTTGTTTTTCGTGTTGCTTTAATGAGCATGAAAATATGTGCACATAAATATCTCCACTTTCATATTATGTTATGATCACACTAAAGTCTCTTCTTGGTGTAGCTTGCTGAACACCAGCACCAGATTAGGATTTATGTGTGATTTTTGTGTACATTTGTACTAGCATTAGCTCATAATTAATCTTTATATTATTATTGAAAATTCTGTAGCTTGCTGAAGTACCAGGGCACGAATTCATGAAACTATTCTCATATGCCCAAACATGGATTTTGTGCTGAAGCCTAATTTTTTGTTCTGGCTATAGATGAATAAAACAAGAGGCCCAGAGGGCCTGTATCGCTCACCTGGATATCAAAGCAATCATGGCAAAATATTCTCCAAATGAGATCTAAGGGATTATGCCAGACCTCAAGGCCAATCCTTGTAGCATATCTGTATTTGATTTTTTATGCCCAGCAATTTTATGTATGGTTATGGGGTGGGGATCTCAACAGTTTCCAAGCTGTGACTCAGAAACTAGGTCCCTAGGGTTGTGGCCAGACCCCAGGATAAATTCTTATATCATGACTGCATTTGTCTCTTTTTGCCCAGCATTTGTATATATAGTTTTGGGGTGGGGATCTCAACCGTTTCAAAGTTATGACCCAGGGGTTAAGTCTGCAAGGGTGGGGCAGACCCTTGGGTCAATTCTAATATCATGACTGCATTCGTCTCTTTATGCCCAACAATTGTATATATAGTTTTGGGGTGGGGATCTTAACCGTTTCAAAGTTATGACCCAGGGGTTAAGTCTCCAAGGGTG